TCTCGTACTGGTCTCAACAGATGTGATACACATCTGTTGAACGTGGGAGGGGCATTACTGAGCCCTTGTGGCATTACTAGCCATTCCCAGAGCATGCCGCTAGGCGTGCTAACTGCGGTATAGGGTATATCCCGTTACCGCATAAGGATTTGATAGAAGCCATCCATCAAATCCATGGACGAAAAGATGGTACTCTTTGACATACCATCAATGATTACGTCCTTCCTCGGTATCGGCGTCTGAGCCGGTACCGTTGCAGCGTTCAATTTGTTGAACGCGTGCACTATCCGCCACCCTCCTGTTGCTTTTCGCACACAGAAGGTCGGAGAGCTATGTGGGGAAGTTGATTCCCTCATATGGCCCGCAGCTAAACGATATGCAAAGAACTTGTCGATCGCAAGTACTTGTTCACGAGGCAGTGGCCACTGCTTCATGACACAGTACTTCGAGCCTGGTTTAAGCTCGACCTCGTGTCGAATACCTTTATCCTTCGGTAATTCGCACGGAACCGTTTCAGGGAATACATCCTTGAATTCAACCAAATCTTCATAGAGAGGATTTGTCTTGAGCGATTCCCATGATTGGGAGTCATATCGCTCAATTCGTGTCTTTTCATCTAGGACACTCTCGTCCATAGATAAACTACTGAGAACTCTCTCGTTCTCCGTAAACACTGTTGCTGACCTTATTTCGGTTACACACTCGTCGTCAGCGACGAGTATGCAGATCTGCTTGACTTTGCCACTACGCAGATCACGCAAGAACCTTTTATGTTCGAGCGTTGGCAACTGAGTGATCTCCGAAGTTAACTTCGAAGGCGCAATCAGATCAAGTGTATAAGCGCCTACACTTGATCCGTTATTGACTATGACATTCAATGTCTCTGTCATTTCCTGGGGACTTATTCCCTCAGGCTTCGAAGGACTTATTCCTTCGTCTTCCCGGGGACTTATTCCCGCGGGTTTCGGGGAACTTATTTCCGCCGTATTTGTAATCTTGGGACTTATTCCCTTTACTTCCTCTAGCTGGGGTTGCGCAATCGCAGCGAGATCCTCTACGAAAGACTCTCCAGTCGATCTAGGATTATCGTTTCGCTTAACCTGAGCGATCGATTGTTTCTCTTCTATATGTTCCCCGCTAGGGATACATCTTTGTCCCAGTCCACCCGACTTATTCGAGTGGTGGACCTTCGGCGCAGCCTGTGTTTCCTCACAGCCGCCGGAACTTTGCTCCGAAGTGTAACCGTTTGGTACATTAAGGTTTTGTGCAGTCGTACTAACGACCGTACCACAAGTGAGGCCATCGCACTCACTCTTAGTACATCCACACGCTTGTGGACGCTCCAAAACGTTCATCAGATGGCCATCTGATGAACAAGCGGCAGGCATCATTACTGTTCGATGTTGCCAGTTTACCCGTGGTTCGTACCTTCTGAGCCAAAATATTCCAAGGATGACATCAAATTTGTCATCCAAATCCAATACGATAAAGTCATCGTCATATTGGATAGCTTCTAGCGTATAGTGGATCTTCACTATACGCTTCATGACGGTTACGGATGCGCCTGTCGCAAGACGTACCGTCATCCTCGTAGGAGGTGTGTCACATTCACTGAACTTATAGTGACCATCTTCTAGCGATTGGCGTTGCACAAAATTGTTGAACGCACCACAATCGACTAGAGCTCGAAGGGATAACTTATTCGTCATTTCGAGTTTCAAGGTAATGAGTGAGATCCCATTACCTAGAGCAGCAACGCACAACGTTTGTGTGTTGGGAGCAACCTTCATCAAGAGGCCTACAAATTTTCTTGACGTTGCTGGACCAGTAGGGTGCTCCGCACCTACTGATCCTGTCCGTTTTTTGACGGTCCATCCCGTTGTTGCGTCTTTGCACCAACAGCGGACCCTCTTCCCTGCCCCTTTCTCATGGGTGGACGGTCACTACGCCCAGTGTTGCGAGACACTGGACGAGGGGCACTACACTCGTAAGCGTAGTGTCCTGTCTTTTGACATCTGTTGCATCTCTGCAACTTCTTGTAGTCTGTAGAGCGAGCCTTCTCGCTCTCTACATAACAGAGTTCCATCGGCTCTGGACCTCCGTTGTCATTTCGTCTCGGTTGACGATATGATGTCGAGCTGGCGCGAGCCTGTCTCAGACTGAAGTCTTCCTGCTCCGCAATGGAAATGGCTTGTTCTAGTGAATCTAGTTCAAGTCGGAACAGGTGAGTCTTGACGGGACCATCCGCAAGACCCTGCATGAACACCGAAACCAGCGTGTGTTCATCCACCGGATTGGAACTTATGCAACTCGTAAGATGTCGTATATGTTGCGCGTAAGCGCGCACATCACGCTTACCCTGTTTGAGCTGCAAGAGTTCGGTTCGAGCTCTGAACTCAGATCTAGGCAATTCAAACGTTTGTTTGAGCCGCGACTTGAAGATTTTCAACGACCCAAACGCATATGGGTCGTGCAACTTGAGCCCCAAAGCCCAAGTCTTGGCACATCATGCCAGATTTGATTGGGCAAATGCAACATGCATATCCCCGCCGTCGATGCGACGCGCCCTTATGGCGTCATCCAATTCGACGAACCATCTCACGAGGGAGTCCTCTTCGACTCCCCTATACTTGGAGATGTCAATCTTCAAGGTTTCGGGTCGACGCGAGTGCATCGACCCGCCAGCAGCAGCCTGCTGCTGTCTCAACAGTTCAAACTGTTGAACACCCTGTTCTCTCAACAACTCTGCCTGTTGAGAGCCTTGTTGGTGAAGCAAGTCTACTTTCTCTCGTTCTGGGTCAAATTCATTTTTGAATGAACTTGGCGATAATAGCATGTTGGGCATCTCTATTGAGAGCCTCTATCATGACGCTAACAGCATGGATGCCCATGGTCGAACCCATCCGCTCAACCGCATCCCATTCGACATCGCTCAAATGGGAGTAGCCGTCACGCGTAGCGTGAAAGCTTTGGTCATCTTCATCATCCAACATATTCATGTTAGATGTGAACGTGCTCCTTGGACGGACTACAAAGTGCTACCAGGTGTAAGGGGGCACCCTGAAGCTTGTACTGGTGACAGTACAAGCTACTTATTCTGATGACAGAATAAGGCGGTGCCTCGTAACTTCACGTACACTGGTACGTGCAGAGGAAGACGGTAAGAAGAAGCGAGTACTTGGTTAAAGTAAAAAGTAGAACTGTATTTATAATAGTTAATGTCTGCAATAAATCACTATTTATCTTCATCTAACTATGTCTAAATACAAATGTGTAAATCAGTTATCTGCTCACCACTCATTGCGTGCGTCTGTCGTGGCGCGTCTTCGTTGGTTGATATAATGGCCTATATCAACCAATTAGGAAGTACTCGTAAGTGCTACAGAATATTTGTCCTTATGACAATATTCTGAGAATAAAACTCTTATAGTTATATTCTATTAACAATTTCTTATAAATTGTTATGTAACGATTCACCCCGTTACAAGATACCTCTGGAAGGTGACCACATATAATGGGGTTAAACGGCGGTTATTGAATCGGTTACGTTGTGTGTCCACACCAAGTAAAATCGTGGATCTGAGTGGTACAGTATTGGTACCACGTACTTACGGTTATACCGCATCTTATCGGGTAAGGATAAGGGACAAGACTTCCGTCACGGGATCGTAAATAGAGCCAGCCCTGCAGCTATTTTGCACCGTTAGGCTTCATGGGTAAAACCCGATTATGTAGAAGTCATACAAGGTTTTAGGGTTTTATTACCGTAGCTAAAAAAAGCTCAGTTCCCCTTTTGAATCGTTGGACACAAGTGCCTAGTCAAGGCATAGTGGGTTGTTTAAGAGCATTAGCCTTGCCAAGGCGTTCACTCTTGTTTGAGTAGTAGTGACTAGTTAGTGTGTGATTCTGTGAATCGTAATCCCTTCGGAACCGGTATTGCTAAGCTTGTACGCTTAAACGACTGTACGTCGTTGTTAGTTTGTTATAACTAAGAGACTCTTTGAGTCTGAGACTTCTTCTGTTAAGGAGCGCTAAGTATTTTTGCTACAGATAATAAGTGTGATTATGCCATCTTCTGCATCGTGAACGAATGTATCAGTGCTGTCTTGACCTTTTAAATTTTTCTGCTAGTATTAGCGGAGAGGATCATGTCGTGTAAGCAAAAGAGCACACAAACGAGTTTTGTCATTGTTGCTTTTGGATGTGACTCACTGATCTGGTCTGATTCTTCAAAGATGAATCAGAAGGATCACAGCATGTACAGTCTTTTTCAATACACTTGCAGCTTCATTGATACCGGAAACTGCCTTATTCAGCTTGTATATTATCTTCTAGGCGTTTTTATGCTACTTAATACTTCCATGTACAACTCTAATTTGAGATCAATGTTTAAAATTGACGTGTCTGCATCCAACAGTTCGGTCACGTATCTTTTCAACACCACCACAGCCGGGACGACCTTGTTAAAATTCGTGTTTGCCACTGGTAAGTACGTCTTTACATTTGTCGTTAATGTAACGGGGTGAATTGTTACATAACAATTTATAAGAAATTGCTAATAGAATATAACTATAAGAGTTATATTCTCAGAATATTGTCATAAGGACAAATATTCTGTAGCACTTACGAGTAGTTCCTAATAGGTTGATGTAGGCCATTATATCAACCAGCGAAGACGCGCCACGACAGACGCACGCAATGAGTGGTGAGCAGATAATTGATTTACACATTTGTATTTAGACATAGTTAGATGAAGATAAATAGTGATTTATTGCAGACATTAACTATTATAAATACAGTTCTACTTTTTACTTTAACCAAGTACTCGCTTCTTCTTACCGTCTTCCTCTGCACGTACCAGTGTACGTGAAGTTACGAGGCACCGCCTTATTCTGTTATCAGAATAAGTAGCTTGTACTGTCACCAGTACAAGCTTCAGGGTGCCCCGTTACACCTGGTAGCACTTTGTAGTCCGTCCAAGGAGCACGTTCACATCTAACATGAATATGTTGGATGATGAAGATGACCAAAGCTTTCACGCTACTCGTGACGGCTACTCCCATTTGAGCGATGTCGAATGGGATGCGGTTGAGCGGATGGGTTCGACCATGGGCATCCATGCTGTTAGCGTCATGATAGAGGCTCTCAATAGAGATGCCCAACATGCTACTATCGCCAAGTTCATTCAAAATGAACTTGACGCAGAACGAGAGAAAGTAGACTTGCTTCACCAACAAGGCTCTCAACAGGCAGAGTTGTTGAGAGAACAGGGTGTTCAACAGTTTGAACTGTTGAGACAGCAGCAGGCTGCTGCTGGCGGGTCGATGCACTCGCGTCGACCCGAAACCTTGAAGATTGACATCTCCAAGTATAGGGGAGTCGAAGAGGACTCCCTCGTGAGATGGTTCGTCGAATTGGATGACGCCATAAGGGCGCGTCGCATCGACGACGGGGATATGCATGTTGCATTTGCCCAATCAAATCTGGCATGATGTGCCAAGACTTGGGCTTTGGGGCTCAAGTTGCACGACCCATATGCGTTTGGGTCGTTGAAAATCTTCAAGTCGCGGCTCAAACAAACGTTTGAATTGCCTAGATCTGAGTTCAGAGCTCGAACCGAACTCTTGCAGCTCAAACAGGGTAAGCGTGATGTGCGCGCTTACGCGCAACATATACGACATCTTACGAGTTGCATAAGTTCCAATCCGGTGGATGAACACACGCTGGTTTCGGTGTTCATGCAGGGTCTTGCGGATGGTCCCGTCAAGACTCACCTGTTCCGACTTGAACTAGATTCGCTAGAACAAGCCATTTCCATTGCGGAACAGGAAGACTTCAGTCTGAGACAGGCTCGCGCCAGCTCGACATCATATCGTCAACCGAGACGGTATGACAGCGGAGGTCCAGAGCCGATGGAACTCTGTTATGTAGAGAGCGAGAAGGCTCGCTCTACAGACTACAAGAAGTTGCAGAGATGCAACAGATGTCAAAAGACAGGACACTACGCTTACGAGTGTAGTGCCCCTCGTCCAGTGTCTCGCAACACTGGGCGTAGTGACCGTCCACCCATGAGAAAGGGGCAGGGACGAGGGTCCGCTGTTGGTGCAAAGACGCAACAACGGGATGGACCGTCAAAAAACGGACAGGATCAGTAGGTGCGGAGCACCCTACTGGTCCAGCAACGTCAAGAAAATTTGTAGGCCTCTTGATGAAGGTTGCTCCCAACACACAAACGTTGTGCGTTGCTGCTCTAGGTAATGGGATCTCACTCATTACCTTGAAACTCGAAGTGACGAATAAGTTGTCCCTTCGAGCTCTAGTCGATTGTGGGGCGTCTAACAATTTTGTGCGACGCCAATCGCTAGAAGATGGTCACTTTAAATTCAGTGAATGTGACACACCTCCTACGAGGATGACGGTTCGTCTTGCGACAGGCGCATCCGTAACCGTCATGAAGCGTATAGTGAAGATTCGCTATACGCTAGAAGATACCCAATATGACGATGACTTTATCGTATTGGATTTGGATGACAAATTTGATGTCATCCTTGGAATACCGTGGCTCAGAAGGTACGAACCACGGGTAAACTGGCAACATCGGACAGTAACGATGCCTGCCGCTTGTTCATCAGATGGCCATCTGATGAACGTTTTGGAGCGTCCACAAGCGTGTGGATGTACTACGAGTGAGTGCGATGGCCTCACTTGTGGTACGGTCGTTAGTACGACTGCACAAAACCTTAGTGTACCAAACGGTTACACTTCGGAGCAAAGTTCCGGCGGCTGTGAGGGAAACACAGGCTGCGCCGAAGGTCCACCACTCGAATAAGTCGGGTGGACTGGGACAAAGATGTATCCCTAGAGGGGAACATCTAGAAGAGAAACAATCGATCGCTCAGGTTAAGCGAAACGATAATCCTAGATCGACTGGAGAGTCTTTCGTAGAGGATCTCGCTGTGGTTGCGCAACCCCAGCTAGAGGAAATAAAGGGAATAAGTCCCAAGATTACAAATACGGCGGAAATAAGTTCCCCGAAACCCGCGGGAATAAGTCCCCGAGAAGACGAAGGAATAAGTCCTTCGAAGCCTGAGGGAATAAGTCCCCAGGAAATGACAGAGACATTGAATGTCATAGTCAATAACGGATCAAGTGTAGGCGCTTATACACTTGATCTGATTGCGCCTTCGAAGTTAACTTCGGAGATCACTCAGTTGCCAACGCTCGAACATAAAAGGTTCTTGCGTGATCTGCGTAGTGGCAAAGTCAAGCAGATCTGCATACTCGTCGCTGACGACGAGTGTGTAACCGAAATAAGGTCAGCAACAGTGTTTACGGAGAACGAGAGAGTTCTCAGTAGTTCATCTATGGACGAGAGTGTCCTAGATGAAAAGACACGAATTGAGCGATATGACTCCCAATCATGGGAATCGCTCAAGACAAATCCTCTCTATGAAGATTTGGTTGAATTCAAGGATGTATTCCCTGATACTGTTCCTTGCGAGTTACCGAAGGATAAAGTATTTGACACGAGGTCGAGCTTAAACCAGACTCGAAGTACTGTGTCATGAAGCAGTGGCCACTGCCTTGTGAACAATTACTTGCGATCGACAAGTTCTTTGCCGATCTTTTAGCTGCGGGCCATGTGAGTGAATCAACTTCCCCACATAGCTCTCCGACCTTCTGTGTGCGAAAGCAACAGGAGGGTGGCGGATAGTGCATGCATTTAACAAGTTGAATGCTGCAACGGTACCGGCTCAGATGCCGATTCTAAGGAAGGACGTAACCATTGATGGTATGTCAAAGAGTACCATCTATTCGTCCATAGATTTGATGGATGGCTTCTATCAAATCCTTATGCGGTAACGGGATATACCCTATACCGCAGTTAGCACGCCTAGCGGCATGCTCTGGGAATGGCTAGTAATGCCACAAGGGCTCAGTAATGCCCCTCCCACGTTCAACAGATGTGTATCACATCTGTTGAGACCAGTACGAGAATTCGCGCAGAGTTATTTCGATGACGTATTCATCCATAGTCGAGCTATGGATGGAAAGTCGGACGTTGAGGTTCACAGGTACCACGTCCGACAGGTTCTTACAATCATGCGAAAGCATCAATTGTATGCAAACCTCAAGAAGTTTATATTTGCCGCAAGCGAAATACCACTTCTTGGGTGCATCGTTGGTAAGAACGGTGTACGTCCTGATCCCGAAAAGATCAAGGCGATCACCGACTGGCCTGTGCCGGTTGATGTCAAAGGTCTTCGAAAATTCCTTGAGCTAGCGGCGTATTTGCATAAGTATTCACGCAATTACGCCGAGATTACTGTGCACCTCTCTCGTTTGTTGAAAAAGAACGAGAGGTGGTTATGGAACGCTGAATGTCAGCGCTCCTTTGAGGGTATCAAGCAGAGCTTGATACAATCCCCAGTCCTAGCAATAGCCGATCAGGACAGGCCATTTCATGTGGTCTGTGATGCCAGCGATTTTGCAATCGGCTGTGCATTAATGCAGTACGATCTTGAAGGCGTTGAACGCGTCGTCTGCTATCAGTCGCGTCAGCTGCAACCAGCTGAGCGGAACTATCCAGTGCATGACAAGGAACTCCTTGCCATGAAGTATGCACTCGCGAAGTTCAGAGTCTATCTATTAGGAGATAGACCCTTCATTGTTTACACTGACCATGCGTCATTACGCACGGCAGTGAACAGCCCGCACCTTTCACAACGAATGGCGCGGTGGCTGTCATTCTTTGCAGAATACAACTTTACGGTCGAGTACAAACCAGGACGACTTAATGTCGTCGCTGATGCACTCTCACGTCGTCCCGACTTTGAAACAGTCGTGAAACCCAACAGTGAGACAGTCACTGTTGCGGTTATGACGTCCTCAGTCCCATCTACAACGTTGTATGATGATGTGAGGCGGGCATACGCCCAAGATGGTGAGATTGTGAAGTTGTTGACACATCTCTCACAGCCATCTCGAGAATCGTTGAAACGATTGTCGTCTGCGTATCGATCTGCATCAGATCGATACACTACTCGCAACGGGTTACTGTATTATACAGCCGTTTCTGGTGACACACCACGTGTTGTCATTCCAGATGATACTGATCTGCGTTTGCGGATCATGTTCGAGTATCACGATGCTCCTATAGGAGGACATCGTGGCCGAGAGAAAACATATCTCACGGTGAGTCGAGACTTTTACTGGCCCCGCCAGTATCAGTTTGTGCGAAAGTATGTTCGCGCATGCGAAGTCTGTCAACGAGTGAAGTCAAGTCCTTCACTGCGTGCACCTTTACAGCCTCTACCGGTTCCGGCTTAGTGCTGGGAATCCATCTCAATGGATTTCTTCTTCGGGTTACCCAAAGACGCACGCAGGAATACGGGTATTCTCGTTTTTGTTGACAGATTCAGCAAAATGGTACACCTTGTGGCTGTACCATAGACAATCACGGCAAGTGGCTGCGCTTGTGTCTTTATTGACACCATCTTCCGACTTCATGGGTTGCCCCATGAATTCGTATCAGACAGAGATCCACGATTCACTGCTGATTTCTGGCGTTCCGTGTTCAAATCACTCGGAACGCGCTTGAAGATGTCAACATCTGATCATCCAGAGTCAGATGGTCAGACGGAACGGGCCAATCGTGTCCTTGAAGAGATACTTCGAGGATACGTACACTCCTTTAAGAGTTGGAGTGAGGTTTTGCCAATGGTAGAGTTTGCCATTAACAACTCGGTGCATGCGTCCACGACACATACACCGTTTTACGTGTATGGCTTACGCCATCCGCGTGTACTCACCTTACTAGAGTGTAACTCTGGTTTAAGGGGGGGAGGGACTCGCGCGAGCAAAAACCGATTTGGTTCACGCTCATCACGCTCTGACGAAGAGGTCATTGCGTTTGATGCCGATATCGAAGAAGATGATGCCAGTGAGAGTGCGGAAGCCCTCACTGAAGAAAATATTGATATCGCTGCAGTGCACTCACAGCGCACTGAAGCTAACGAGTCATCAGATGAGTTCATACTGGCTCGTGAAACGGTAGTCCGTTTTGTGCAAGACTCCATCGCCGAAGCGGTGGATAAGCAAAAGCAAAACGCTGACAAGAATGGAAGGGCAAACACTCTTTTATTTAATAAAGGTGACTTAGTCCTACTGTCTACGGTTAATCTACCAAAGCATGTAGTGACTAACTTGGGTAGCAGTAAACTACTACCCAAGTACATCGGACCATTTCGTGTATTGCACCGCCTAGGCAATGCATACACGATCGAGTTACCACGTAAGATGCGAACGCATCCCACGTTTTACGTTGGTCGGCTTAAGCCGTACCATCAGTACGCTGCTTCTTCCGATGAAGAACGCCCTTGCGCTCAAGCATCTCGCAGAGAGCCTTGTGCTCCCGATGGTGGGCATCGACAAGGGTCTGAAGAGCAGCTATCTCATCCCGAGACCGATCAGCAATCCCACGAGCTACCCTTAGCTCGTCACGAAGAGATGTCAGAGCTCTCTCGTTCTCAAGCTGAGCAAAGGCAAACTCAGCTCGATGCTTCGAGGCAGTGTCCGCCATTTGGAGACGCGTGTCCCGCTCTTGTTCGAGATCGTTGCGTAACCCTTGCGTTACGCGATCAAAGAAGCTCTCGGGAACACGCGGATCCCCATGATCGCGTGGAGAGCGTCTTTTCTCCTCCTCCACCTCCATTAGAGGACTCTCGCGGTGGCCAGCGCTATCAAGTTGAGCAGCTGTTGAACCACCGCGACGTGAACGGACTTCGGACGAGTTATCTCGTCCGGTGGCGCGGCTATCCCCCGTCCTGGGATTCTTGGGAGCCCCGCTCCCAACTAATGATCGACGTACTGGGTCTGGTTGAGCAGTACGACGCGGCACATCCTGTGCCGCAGAAGGACCACCGGAGAAAGTCTTCCCGGCACGGTCGTAAAGGGATTTCAGGTTGTCAATCCCTTCGTACATCTCAATAGAGATACGTACGCGCCACCACGGGCTATTAGGGAGGTAAGCCTCCTTAGGTGCTCGTGCAGAGTTGTTCACACAACATGGGCACGAGTCTCCCCAAGAGAGGCAGGGTAATCTTTTCTCTCTTGACAGACGATTCAGCTTGTAGCGCGCACCTGTCGGGGTTCGCTTTTCAAACTTATCACGAGCTTTGATAAGTTTGTCGCTCCAAACGTCACGTCCTACATCCTCAAGGTTATGGATGTTGGCGTTCCACGCTTGAAGTAGTGAGGGACCATCACGCTTGTGATTCCCACTGTACCATCGATGTCTAAAGAAAGCATCGATGAAGGATTCATGTTCAGCGCGATAGTTTTTCGCACTGGGGTCAAGGTGATGGATCCTTGACGAATCGAACAACCGTGTTCGATAACGATCACTGGTCGTCGCCGACAAGTGATCCATGACGGATTTTTGAGGCATCCATGCCTTCTTTTCGGGAGCGAGACCAAAGACATTGCGGTCCCGCTCTTCCTGCGACGTGCCGACAGAAGGACTGGCACCTCGCTGCGAAGTGGTGTCAATAGGAGAACCGACACCACTGTTAGCGCCCGAGTCTCGCGACCTCGAGTGCCTTCGCTTCGGCGATGGTTCTTCTGATTCGTCAGATGGACCAAAGATGCTGCGACGCATAGCATCATCCATGCCACGCTTGGCAGGTGGCTTGGATTCAATCGCCTTCGATACCGATTCCTCTTCCGTATCAGGAGAGTATGAGACACCGAGCTCATACTCTGTGAAGAAATGAGTGTCTTCATGACCAGCGCTTGCATCACCAAGTGACACAGGCTGCGTCGCTTCAGCAACCGATGAGACATCAGTTGCTGTGGTTTCTGCTTCGGCGTCCGCACAGAGACGTGCGGACGCGCTCTCGGCGGCCTTGCTCGCGCATCGCATGGGCTTGTTAACCATGCGATGAATTGTTGGAAAGTGGACGCGGACCAACAAGTGCAAACCCTGTCCCAAATGATTTGGGACGAGTATCCATTTAGTCAATCAGTCACTAAAGTGACTGATGGTTAAGGGGGTGATGTAACGGGGTGAATCGTTACATAACAATTTATAAGAAATTGCTAATAGAATATAACTATAAGAGTTATATTCTCAGAATATTGTCATAAGGACAAATATTCTGTAGCACTTACGAGTAGTTCCTAATTGGTTGATATAGGCCATTATATCAACCAACGAAGACGCGCCACGACAGACGCACGCAATGAGTGGTGAGCAGATAACTGATTTACACATTTGTATTTAGACATAGTTAGATGAAGATAAATAGTGATTTATTGCAGACATTATCTATTATAAATACAGTTCTACTTTTTACTTTAACCAAGTACTCGCTTCTTCTTACCGTCTTCCTCTGTACGTACGAGTGTACGTGAAGTTACGAGGCACCGCCTTATTCTGTCATCAGAATAAGTAGCTTGTACTGTCACCAGTACAAGCTTCAGGGTGCCCAGTTACATATCTCCTTAATTAGTTGTTAAATTCTGATCAGTTATATGTCGTCGGCAGCACTTTAATACTTACGGCGTTGCTGAGCACGAATATCCTCCACTTTCATTTTCTCATATTCGTCGCTTTACAGCGTCAACAACATCGAAGAGTAGCGTCAACACACAGGAATCGACGAGCAACTCATTTCCTAGCCACCTACTACCTGGATATGGGTACGCGAATAAACTGAACTTGATTGGGTTCTAGGACTGAATCAAAGGGCGAGCTCTACAGCTTATTTTCCTAATTTAGTACTGGGAAATAAGGCTGGGGCAAGTACTGGCATTGAAAAATCCTTGTTCGTTTAGGTCCTCTCAACGACTGCTGACATTTTGCCAAGTGGATACACCGAGTCGTCGTACATCTTTGTGGTCCACTTACATACCACATCAACACTACCTTAATTCGCTTGCGGACACATCCCACGATGCGTCACATTCAATACATCTAGAAAATGAGATTGAAGGAAACTTCGTCGAAAACACTTGTTTACTCAGAAATTCTCACGACTGGTTTTTAGGCTCAAACATGCGAATGTGATTGCGCTTTATCGACTATCGTGTTGTCTATCAAAACAAAATTGGCTGCCGCTGCCTTCGACTCACCATCCTCATCTGATGTCCACCGATGCACTTGCCAACCATTTTAAATGCGACCTCGTCAGTATCTGCAGCCCGACTCAGCCTGAATTTCGATGCTGCCTTCGACGTCGAAAATTCTACCTCAACCGTGTCGATGCCTGGATTAATACACGGCAACGATATTGCAGATTGCAAAACCAGCAAAATATCCAAGCACCGAGCAGTAGATACTTCTTATAGCGACAAACTCGTAGCTTGTCGAGTTACCGGTGCCTTCGTCGACGTATCCTCAGCTAGCACGAAGCAATTAGTACAAATATCAGTGTCGATGTCTTCCGCGTGACTGCTATATTGGCGTCTGCATGTGTCATTACGAGATGCACACTCACCAGTCCTATCAGGCCTTGACGGCGTGCACTCTGTCGATACCAGCAATTGCGTCCGATAGAACGTGCACCGTATAGTTGGCATCAACAACAGGTAATGAGAGCGATATGTGGACCTTGCGTTTCCATGCCACGTGCTTGAGGTGGATGATATCCTCTTCTGTTTCCTCCGTCTTGGTCGTCACGACGACGTAGAAGCCGTACGCCTTGGGTTTTTGCAGTCGAGATGTAAAGGCTAGATTGTTGCTGCCTTGGCCACTTAAATCTGTCAACTCCACATCAACCACTTGCTGCTTCTGCTTCAGTCGCACCTCCATACGAAACCGCGGAACGGCCTCTGCTACGCGTATAAACTCGTTGATCTTGTGCTTCGTTAGGCTGCTCGCTCGACCTCTCTGTTCTTGTAGCTGCAAATTCTGCAGGCGTTCAATGATCTGCGCTTTTTTAGTACGCACCGCTAGAGCTGCTTGCAGATCAGCAATTCCTGACACCCTAAATTGCTCGCGCAGCACCTTCACAACCGCCTGCGACGCATGTGGCAGCTGAGTCAGTCCATCGTCGCTGTCTGGCCATCGACCCTGCACGACAGCTTGAGATAGACGGATTCCAGCAAATACTAGATCCGGGAGATTTAGATGACCACTGAGGTTGATTACAGCGCTCAGCAAACGCGGCACGTGGTCCAACAACATGCGCAGATCGTTTGCGAAATCACTTGACGGTAGACGCATACCCATCAGATGCATCTGAAGCACTAGGAATGCCTTCACCTCACTGCCATGGGTCTCCAACAACGCCTTTTGACGCTTCGGAGAGCTTGAGTACAAATGCTTCATTGGCGAAAACTTCACCTTCGTGCAAACATCTGTGATCAAATTGCTCGTGAGCTCGTTATGACGTAACGGGATGTCGCGAAGCTCCACGCTGGATTCGCAAATCACACAAAGCAGCAGCAACGTGTTCGTTGCTGTTGCTGGTCCTGCTTTATCCACGGTAGCAGCTCGCAAAGCAGTCAACATGTTGGACACTGTGCGTACATCCAGATAGAGTGCAGCTGCAAGCTTTCCAGCGAACGTTGGTCCAAAAGAAGGCAGACCACTCGATTGCGACGTAGTTATGCAGTTACTCGACTCGAGCTGCTGCATCGTTGTTGTTATCAGCTGCTGGAAGAACTTCTCCAGCTCGTCTTGCTTGCTCGGTTTCCTCGGCTGCTTTTCCTGCTTGCTCAGTTTGCCACCGCTTGCGATAGGCGAATCGATCGCTGCCACAGCGGCCCCAACACCGTAGAAGCCTGGATTCTTGAGCACACGCTGGAACAGCAAGCTCCAGCTCAAGTAATCCATCACGTCTTTAGGAGTGTGGAGCAATCCGGCTGCGATCTCCGCGTTTAAGTGGTTGGCCAAGATGTGGTGCATTGCGTTCCCACCCAGACAGGACTCCACAGCCAAGGGTTCGTGCAGGAATCGCTGTGTGACGTTCTTCTTGCTTTCTTCTACCAATACACACGCAATCCCCTTGTCATCTAGTAGGGGGCGGCCAGCGCGGCCAATCATCTGCAGCAAGTCGCTCAAAGGGTACGAGCGGTATCGTCCATTCTGGAAATATTCCGTGCCTTTGATCACGACAAGGTGCGCCGGAAGATTTGCGCCCCACGCCAGAGTTGATGTCGAGATCATCACCTGTATGAGACGATCCTTGTACAGCTTTTCGACTAGTTCACGGTCTCGACGCGTCAACCCAGCGTGGTGAAGACCAATGCCGAAGGAGAGCGTGTGCTTGAGAGTCTCGTCCACGATCTGATTTGACTGGCAAATCGAATCCATGACCGCTTCGTCCATCTTTAAGAAACGCTTGTTTCCGTCACCACTCTCGTCCGACGCAACGCAGAACTGGATCAAGTCTAGCGCCGTCAATTTAGTCTGAGCCTTAGATGACACAAAGATAAGCACAGGCTTGTCAGGAGAATGCGTCTTGATAGCCATGAACGTCGGCTTATTCATTGCCGCCATGCGCGCCACGTAATGACGCTCCGGAAAGCCCTGAATGTGCACATCCATAGGCACCGGACGAACGGACGCTCTAAAGTTGTACAGTTCACCACCGTTAGAGCTATTTGGTTTGATTCCACCCAGCCATTGTCCCACATCGTTTGCATTTGCTAGAGTTGTGGACAGCCCCATAACACGAATCGGAGGACCAGAGCGCGTGAACCGTCTAAGACGACTGATCAGTACTTCCAGCACCGCACCGTGTGGTGCCTCACCAACTAAATGAACCTCATCCACAATGACAAGCGCCATTCGAGCCATCAAAGCGCGACCAACTGTGCTGCTGCGCGTGAGCAAGTCCCACTTCTCCGGCGTCGTGACCACAATATCTGCCTTGTTCAGAATAAACTCGACATTAACGAGCGTATCTCCCGTGACTTCCACCACTTTTTTGTGCAGGTGCGCGTTGTTTTCAAACTGAGCCTTCCATTCTGCCACCTTCTCTCGGGCAAGCGCTTTCATCGGTGCGATATACACAATCAGCGATTGCGTAGTAGCAGGTGCGTGGATCCCAGGATCGTCCGAAGATCCCTCATCTTCACGTTGAGCACTCTCACTAAGCTTCTGTTGTTTCCAAACTCGCAGCATGGCAAGCTCAGCACACACCGTCTTGCCGCTGCCAGTTGGTGCGCAAAGCAGCACATTTCCGTTCTGGTGGTAAAGTTGGTGAAACGCTTGCGTCTGGATCGGGTTAAAGTGCTGGAACCTACCTGCGTACAGCGCTTGGTAAACAGGGTCGTCCAGAGACTGAAGAGGTTGTGGGTGCAGTCGAAGCAGTTTCGTGTACATGTCGTTCTTTTGCTTCGCCAACTCTGCTGTAGTGAGTTCGCTTGGCGCGTAGCTCACCTCATAAAAAGACTCGATTCCGACAAAACGGTCGGACAGAATGCGCATCACGTAAGTCGCCTCCGTCTGCCCTTGCGTAATAAACAGAGGAAGGTAGCACTCTATCTCGAGCGTTTGCGTACCAGCTTTCCAACCAAAAAATTGGTTCTGGTGAAGAACGTAGTACTCCGAATGGTAGATATGACCAGTGACAGCGTCTTCAACCCATAGCCAAGACGATAACGACTTACCCTGAAATACTCCTTCTTTCCACTCTGGAAACAGTGGATAAAGATCAAACGAAAGCTTGATCATAGTACTACCAAATGGTTGAGTCTGGACGTTGTCGATGTCGATAAATGGAACACTCTGGACCCATTTCTTCATCTTAGCACGCAGGTTATATGCATCAGGGTCGACGATTGCGTCGTACAAGGTCATATTGTGGCGGCGGTCTAGCTCCGCAACAACGTCATATGGCACATTCGGAAGCTGTAACAGCGCGTTTTGGTCCCACCACATCTTCTGGTCAATCGACTTGGCAAGTTGCAGGAACTTTTCAGCTTTTCGCGCACTGTTTTTCTTCAGAAAAATTTCAAATAGTGCACGACACACTCGAGAACCATTCTGGGCGACATAGTTTGTGTCCGAGATGAGCGTAAACGTCGACACACGAGCACGGCCGATGAGGGCCTGCAGGAGAACGTTCGTCTTTCCTGTGTAGGTGTCCATGCCCCCTCCTAGGATGTCGAAGCGGCAGAACCCGCGCTTGAGCTTCTCCAACTCCGGCATCTCTTCCTCGCGCGATTTCAATTGTTCAAACTCGTTACTACTGCACAGCACCAACAGCACCTTCACCCAGTCCAGATCATCCTGATCGCTTTCTTTCTGACCGGACTTGTCATCAAGGATGTCGTTGAAAGTCTCGATGGAAGTATGCTGGATATAAAAGTGGCTTGCCACACGCCCCATTGAGGTCACGGCAAACGCAATCTTGCTTTCCTGACCAGAGCCCATCTGGACCTTCTCGCGAAGGATCTTAATCATTCGACACGCTGCCAGTTTCTCTGCAGCATCCATCAGCAGTTGTCTGCGTCGCACAATCAACATCGGATCTTCATTTACATCGTCCATCTTCATACCATAGGCTAGTGGGTTTTTTCGCATGCGTACGTACAGATACGTATAGCTGAGCCACGTACAGGCCTCGTCTAAATTACTCACGGTGCCAGAAACTATCTCGGCGTTCAAGTGGTCGGGCAATGCTTTGATCAAAGACGACTCCATTGGAATTCCTGTAGTAAGCAAGCGTAGATAGTGAGGCAGCTGATCTTGTGTAGTCACCAAGACAGCATCTCCGCTTGTGTCGTACTGCGGACGTCCAGCACGACCAAAGATTTGCATAACATCCAGCATGCTAAGCTGCGTCATGCCACCTTTGTCGGCGTTATAGACTTGAGTGCCCTTGATAATGACCGAGTGCGCTGGTAAGTTCACGCCCCAAGCCAATGTCGCTGTACAGCACAGCACGCGGATGTGGCCAAGTTCAAACAGCTGCTCCGTCAAATTTCGGTCACTGCGCAGCATACCAGCGTGATGAATGCCCATGCCATATCCTAGCAGCTCCTTGAGTTCTTTGTTACGGCTCTTTTGGACGTGCTCGTGCAGACTGATAGGCAACTGTAGCTCAGGGGGTGGTAGAAATGCTTCCAGCGTTCCAGGATCTTCTTCGTTACCACGTGCAAGCTCAACCATGCTATGCAGCGTAGCCGCCGTCTCTTTTCGTGAATGCACAAAGACCATAACTTGTTCGTTATGCTTCACCTGCTGTAAGCAGTGAGCTAGCGTAAGCTTGTTCATCATTAGTTGAATCTGGCGCTGTCGACTCATGATAGCGCCTGCTGTCTTTTTCTCCTTGGCGAGATCCTCGAGTCTCGCCGTCACCTTCGAGAGTGCTGTGGTACTCAAACCCAGTGCCTCTTTCAGGTTTGCATTCGTGCTCACGCCAATAAACGTTTGATCCAATGGTACGGGTCGGTACGTCGAGTCAAAGAAAAACAGCCCTCCCCTCCCGCCGTTCATAGCTGCATTTTGCATGCGTACGTCTCCATGAGGGACGTAAACGCGCAAAAACGACGCGACGTCAACGTAGTTCGGCAGAGTGGCTGATAGGCCGACAATACGGATCATACTTTGCGTGCTTTCTACGCGACGTAACGTCCGAGCCACGATAGTCTCGATAACAGGACCACGTTCATCCGCTAGCAAGTGAACTTCGTCGATAATCAGAAGCTTCACCTGACTGAGCAGCGATTGCTGAGTGCTGGACTTGCGCGTGATGACGTCCCATTTTTCGGGGGTCGTCACGATCACATGGGTCTCTTCGATCTCCTTCTTCGTCAACTGCATATCACCCGTAAGCTCGCGCACTTTCAATCGCAGGGTCTGTAGTCGCTGACCGAATTTCGTTACCACCTCCTGCGCTAAAGCCTTCATGGGAGCCACGTAAATAATTTTCATGTTTGCCACGCCTTGATCAACCGACTGATCTTGATGTCGATTCAGCTGTGTCTTCACCTCCTGCAACACAGCAAGCATCGCCACGTTCGTTTTACCAGCACCCGTAGGAGCGCACACTAACAAGTTCTGGTTCGAGTTGTACGCGGCGTCAAAGAGCTTCGACTGCAGTCGATTTAGCTTTGTAAGTCCATGAAACGCACTTTGTGCAAATTCATCTAGACTCGAGATCGTCACGAGCGTTTCTTCGATCCCCAATGCCTTCTTAGCATGAGCCGGGATAAACACGTGCTCATAGCCTTTAAAGTGCGTCCTCTTGGTGCTTGACGGCAGTGTCAGAGCTCCTGCAGCCACCAGTTGACCAGCCGCTGCCGTCGAGTCATATCCTCCCTGCAGCGCTCCAAACTCGCGCTGCACGAGCGACGTCGACTGGCATCTCCGTTCTTCTTCAGCCATCTCCTGCTGCAATCGCAGCACTTCAGGGTCGTATCCTGCCGCTTCTAGCCAATTAGGAGCTTCTCGGGCCTCATTTCTCAATTCTCGAGACGCACGTGCCGTCTTAGCTCTCTCAAGCCGCTTGTGCGCGTCCTTTAGTCTCTGCTTCATCCCTCTTGATGACGTCGACTTCACCAGCTCTTGCTCGTGCTGCACGGCAAAGGCGATCACGTCCATCCCGTGCACGCCCACGAGTCCAAAGAGCTGATTCTGCACGGAATCAGCGTCACCTTGACCATCTTGTAAAATGTGCAGTATAGTCTCGGCCAGCTCCAGCGGTGTCCAGAACCCTCCGTCATTATGTGAAGAAGCAGCGTGAAGTGCACAGACTGTTAAAAGCTGCTCAGCCACGTCTGGAGTTGTGGCTTGGTTCTTGATCAAGTGACGGTCTTTAAGCCTCGCAGACGTCGTGACGACGGCGTTAACGGCACCAGCTGCAGCTTCACGCTCATCGGCTAGACGCAGCGTATCGTGTTCGACCTGTAGCACGTTTAAAAGGTCACTGGAGGACGCTGGATGGGCGAATGACTGCAAGCTGCTTGGTGCTGGAGGTTCATCGACTGTTGTGAGGTCGATACTGAGCGGTGGGAGCTGTAAACACTTAGAAACGGATGCGTGATCGCTAGAGGAGAGAGTGGTTGTGGTGTTGGTGCAAGGAGCGGGAAAGGACGAGCGTAAGACCGCGAGAAATGACGTCATGAAGGCACTCGAGACGGCGACGATGCTTTGGACTTGCGCGCAGTGTGGAAAATGGAGAGGCTTGTATTGAAGGGATGGATGGAGTGGAGACACTTGTGTTGACTATGGTGGCGAGTCGTTGAGAAGAGGCGCTAGAGACGACGCAAGGAACGACGATCCTTTGAGTGTACCCATATCTTCACAAACTACTGATATTGGAGCGTTTTACGGTTTTGCACTGTCATCATACCGATATGTAGTGGTGGTACGGTACAGAACGTAGTAAACCGGTTCTCGAGCTTTACACGCCTCGGTATTAACGCAGGCCAACACAATCAAAGGTAATCGCAGCTGGCTGCTGCTGCCTGCGGTTTGATGACATCGAGTGGGTCTGTTTGAAAATGATGACCGTTCAAAACACTGTGCTAATACGGTTTTACACAACCTTAGACTCCACGCTCCGACATTTGCTTACAATCGTACGAGTCGAATACCGTTAGGGTGTAAAAACAGCATAAGAACGAGGCCCCGGCTCGTCTTCGTCTTCCACTTCTTGCATGGCAATGGTTCATTTATTTATTCCATCCACCACTATCAACAACATCTCGATGGACGAATGACCTGCAGCAGAAGGCTTTTCTGCCAGCTCCGTCTCGTGACCATGGCGTGCGCTGCGACATGTTGACGATTTGGTGCAGCAGTTTCTGATACATACAAATGCCGCGGTGAAAAGCTTCTGGATAACAATGCAGTGCAAAAGGACACGCAATGCCGATGAACAGTCACTTGTAAGCACTAGCTCATCGAACAAAAAGAAGCAGAGCTGATGCTACCAAGAAGAAATGATCGGTGACTTTGTTTCAATGCATCATTACGTGCTTCTTCATTCAACGCCTCAACGCTCTTAGCGCTTCATCGTGTCTTGGAGCTCCATCAAGCATATGAAAGGGAGACACCACACCGCACCGGCTTTCAATAAACTGCCAATCCAAAGCATCATGTTGCTACCAAAATACGCGACAGACGCGACGAGACATGGAAGGTGTAACAGCTCGATCGTACGCGTCTGCTATTGTCATTATTTACGAGTAGACAGCAGCGAGACCATCGGTCAATCCGAGACGCTCTCATTCATTTAACATAGAGCTACGACATTTCTGCCGAGAATAGTGGATCGCTAGAACTTGTAAGCGAACGATTATCAATGTGATCATTACAGCGGGCTATGTCGACCTACAGGCCATTCTCCTCGACCTCTATCGAGCTTTTGCGTCGTCTCGAGGCAATGAGTTTAGCATGATTAGCTTGACCCCCAATATCTAAACCCTCATATTAGCTAGACATGTCCTAGCGAGATCAAGACGTGAAGGTGACACACTCGGACAAAGTCCTTAAGTGAGCTACCGTGCACTACCAGCTCGATACGACCAGCGAGCAGCTGACAATTGACCGCTGCCAGCGCAATACTACCGGAACGGCTACACGACGTATTCAAAGTCTGCTACATGTCAACTATCGAACCATTAGTACTTTACGTAACCCGGATGAGCTGATGCGAGGGTCTACGAGACGCAATGGACAACATGCTTGCCACATGACGACTTTGCCAGACAAAGCTGACAATCCATTTTAGGGCTTTCCAGTAGAGCAAGAAAGAAGATGAAGAGAGCATGCCATTTGTGCAGTTTTGGTAGTTTGTTATGTAGCTTGAGCTAAGCAACTACCGATGCACCTGGAAGCGCTATCACAGCGACAAATAGGGCTTCTGATCACTGACAAGAACTGTGTAGCTCAGTCAGCATTGTCCATTACCAAGAAGCATCGACATTTGTCAAATATCTTACAACATCTCGCTCTTTGTACCCGATTTGCGTGAACCGCCAGGTATGGCGGGATAACACCTACACATGCGCCATTGAACGCTGGTCCAACCCATTTGTTGACAGCTCGAATGCTAAAAACTAGCTCTGGAAGCGGTTTCGTAGAAACTTGTTGATCTCGTGCCTGACCAGAGTTATCTGTCTTCCTATTCCTCGTGATGTCCACAGGAGCCCATATCTTTTGTGGATCCGTACAGCATTTCTGAGCCTTTTGATGGATTCAAACGCCCGGCACCGAACCTTGTTCACGTTTGAAGTGTGTCAATCGAGGTCTTTGTAGAACGTGATGATGTGATGATCTTGACGACAGACCGATTCTCGGTGTTGAGACAGATTGCAGCAAAATGCACGATCTGGTCATGCTTAAACGTGCAAGACCGAATCGAAAGCGTAACGGCACCTAGCAAATGCAAGCATTCAAGACTCCCGCGGTTTCTTGCTCTCTTTATCGCACGAGAATCAGAATCGGGCGAGCAGGCTGAGCCGCATGCATTGCTGACTGCGCAATGGACACCAATCGCCCAGAAATCAGAAACCGCATGTTTGTCAGGACTTTCAAACAGGCATCTTCAACAACAGTCGAGCTGTTCTTGCCATCATGAACCAGCTTCGCGAAATAGAACACGTACGCCATCCAGCAGTCATTTCTCTACAATCGTCTTTGAACTGAACTCGGCTACGCCAATGGTGGCGGTATAGCGTAGTAGCTTTCTTGTTGTTGTGTTGACCATCCGTTCGCACATGTCCACCAAAAAACAGCTTCCAGCCACATGTCAATTGCGAGTTCTTTGTCCAGTGTGTTGCTACTATCTAAAAAGCTGGACGACTCAAGGCGGTGACTGAAAGTCAATGTCTCAGTGAAGGACACTTCGTGTGATCTTGTTGCCTTAATCATCCATCATGACTCTATGGAGTGCTAGTAAGAGACCATACGCCTGACAGACGCACACGCATTAGACTCTTCTAGTCTCATCAGCTCCAGTGACCTCAGATTCAGCCAAGTACAATCCGCGTCGCTGTTGTTCATGTTCATCTTCCTGTAGTGCGACGTGACTCATAGCATCACCGAGTCGACAACTTGCATGACATCCATAACGTCACACACAAACGAACAAAACACCTAGTAAATCCGTCTAGAACGTCACGTTAAGACGCACGCGATCGATTTCCAAGTCGCGTGATTCGCACGACAAAGTCGTACTTCGTTACCACAACTAACGCACAACATCTAAATCTCTTCTAATGCCTGCCCATTCATGCAAGCCTTTTGACTTCTTTCCTACCACCGTAGTGCTGCTGCTGGACCCGAGGGTTCTTGCAATTCAAGACCGCCTCAACAACACTTCACCACCTCGTGCAGCTCCTTCACCCTCTCAAGTCTTCATGCCATAAACCCCCTCTCCAGACCTCCCACGAGCAGATGTACCGTTCCCTGTCACCATCTTCTTCAATTCCTCGTGACACTCCCCGCAGTAGCAGCTGGCAACTTGCACCGGCAAAAAGAGCCACGCGTTTGGAAGTTCAGCGCGTGGGAAAGCGGCCAAAAAACGGACGGCCGAGGAGCTCCGTAGACTGTCTGCAGTCGCAGTAATCGCTCGCCCCTCATCTCGTCGGTCTCCGATCGGACTTTTGGGTCGACCTTTTTGCCACAGAAGCCACGAAAAGCGCTCGACCGGGTGGACGAAGGCGTCGTCGCTACTCGTTCCTACCACTTAGTAGTACAGTCAGCACCTGCCACAAGGACTTGTCATTTTGGCGCTTTTCGGTCGAATTCACGCTAGAAACTGAAGAAAGAGAATAAAGAATGCTCATGTTGGTGCTACGTGGGCCATGGGTGGGTCTTCTTCTTGGTGGAGCTGCGCTTCTGAACTTGACGTCGGTTGTGCTTGGGAACTACACGACGGTGGAAATTTACTCGGACGCGAATTGTCAATCGATTCCCTTAGTCGTGACGTTAGAAACGGTCGTGGATAACACGAGCTGCACGTCCAACGATACGTGTGTAGCCACGGAGATCAATGATTCCGCCTATTACTATGCCCGTCGATGTGCCACGGACCGGTTTGAATACGCCTCGTCGTTGTTTAGTGGCGCCAAGTACCTCATGATTGACGGGTTTCGAGAAGAAGGCTGTCTGGACTACGTGCGCTCGAATATCTTCCTGGCTGCAGGGACATGTCAACTCGCGTCGTACGTTGGAACTCGGAGTGAAATCGCCACGTTGTTCAATGACGGCTCGGCGTACATGACGATTTACAATGACTCGGCATGCAGTGTCAAGGCGCAGAAGTTCGATCTCAATGCCTCGACGATTCAAGAGAATGCGTGCTATCGGGGCTACAATAAGTTTTATACCTCGGACCATACAGGGATTGCCATGGCAAATGCTGAAAGCGGCAGTGGACGCAATTCGACCTTGTCGAAGACGACCACGTCGCATGTGTCCAAGATGAGCACGAAAGCGCTGCTTGGGATCGTATTCGCTTGTCTGGTGATTGTGATTCTACCCGTCGTGGTGATCTACTGGAAAGTCCGTCGAACGAAACGAAAGGACAAGCACAATATAGATCGTACACGGAACCTTGACGTGGCTTTGGCCGTGAGTGACAAGCATGAGAACGAAGAACAGTATGCTTTTGATGTGTCACCTAGAAGTGGACGGGAGGGTACGTTTGGTTCCCATACAGGTAGATTAGCAGCACCAGCGCTGCATAATAATGCCTTGTGGACGGATCCCGTGCGTACTCAAGGCGTGCGTGAAAGTCCGCTGTCTTCTCATAAACAGAACAGGCAGAAGATTCAAAAGTTGCGGAGCGAAGAGCTACGAAGTGGAGACAGGTTGCGGACTGATCCGATTGGAAGTGGTGGTCACCTGCATTCTGATGAGCTGTGTACTCCACCAGTGCGCGGCAATCGATTACAACGTCAGGATTTGAGTGATGAAGCTGTGTGCAGCCATCCGATGCGTAGTGAAGATCTAAAGGATGACCACCTCCTGAACGAAAACAAGCAGATTAAACAGCAAAGTGTGGCCGATCGGGTGGCAAACTGTGGTCAGCTGCCCAGCGAATCCGTGTGGGGGACTCAGATGCTTGATGTTGATCTCCAGAGCCATCGTTGCCCTCCGCATGAACTTTTACGAAGTGATATAGCTCGTGGTATGGAACAAAATAGTGGACAACCTATTCACGCTCAAAGACTGCGTGGTCCGGTTACTGCAGATAGCGTCTGCGAAGATGATGCTGTGTTGTCGTCTCGAATTCCACGCGATAGCGTGTTTGTTGAGGATTTGATCGGTCGCGGAGGGTATGGCGAAGTGTACAAGGGCACATATGAGGGTCGATCTGTTGCTGTAAAAATGCTGTTTCCAGAAACGAGAAAAAACACGCGTTACGTGACGGAATTTTTGACGGAAGTCAAGCTCATGACAGTCCTGGACCACCCGCGTGTTGTACAATTTATTGGTGTGTCCTGGAATAACTTGATGGACTTGTGTGTCGTGACTGAGTTCATGGCAGGAGGCGACTTGCGGGCGTGGCTGAGCGATTGTGCAGACAACAACGGTTCTGTTGGTTTTGATTTTACAAAAGTGAAGATCGCAGCGCACGTTGTCCACGCGCTTGTCTACTTGCACTCGTTGACTCCATCAGTGATTCATCGCGACTTGAAGTCGAGGAACATTTTGCTGAGCGAGAACCAAGACGCAAAGTTGGCTGACTTTGGTGCGTCTCGTGAGCGAGTAGATGGCACGATGACAGCAGGAGTTGGTACGTCACTATGGATTGCACCGGAAGTGACGATGGGCGAACGATACGACGAAAAAGCCGACATGTTCTCGTTCGGTGTCGTTCTTTCTGAATTAGACTCTTTACAGAACCCATACGCCCACGCCAAGGAGAACAATCCAGCAGGACGGAAGATGCCCGATACAGCTATTCTTCAGTTGGTGGCTATGGGTAAATTACGCGTCGAGTTCTCTCCAAAGACTCTCAAGGGAGTAGTACATCTTGGTACAGCATGTACATCAATCGATCCGACGGAGCGGCCAACAGCAGCTGAGGCCTACCAGAAGCTCCAGATGATTTTGAATCAAGAGGCAGCAAAAGCCGCCAATGCAAAATAACGGTTCAGGAAGAGGGACCCTGACAATGTGTTGTTGAGAATCCCGCTTTCGCGTTCCGCACGCCCTGATACAACGTGCAACCGGCTTGAAAACGTCGCGATCTTGGCAGTGGTGAAGCCGACGGTGTTGTCCAAGATCTACTACCACTACATACACCGCTGAATGAAAACTCGACGCCGTTGTACACCTCCGTGACTCTGAGATCCAGTCCGGGCTTGCAAACCAGCCGTCGTATTTGGTCAGTGATTTGCCAAGAAGAAAGCGGGGTGTATACAATCAGGATGTTGCAGCTCAAGATCGTGCACCTTATGGAATCCCGGGAGCAGTGATTCTCACTATAGCATTTCTATCACTGTCGGCTGGTGCACCAGCATCATTTCGATCGTTGCCACCGTCGGAGGCTGAACGAGCGATGGAAAAATCACTGGTGTCAGTATTTATCGCTCTTCTTGTATGTATCCTCGGGGCAGGTCTATCTGCAGCTGCTCGAGTCTTTATTGTGTCAGTAATGAATGCAAAAATCTACAGCCTGCATGGCTCAACCGATATCAATGTCTGTCGAGTTGCCGGTAAAATGAAAGAGAGTTTGGCTTGTATATTACTGTGGCAGATCTCTCAGCTGGCTATGTTATCCCCGAACACACTGTCAACGATGTAGATGGTCATGCTTTGTCGCACTTTGACATGTTTAGGCAACCGACACGCAAGTAAGAGTTTAGACTACTTTTATGCTGTAGACGAAGTCCCGACAATGACATATCTTTCTTTCCCTGCATGAAGACCCCGAACTCGAGCAGGAGAAGTCCAAAGGCAAAGTCACCATAACCGCATGTTAAATGAGAAGTCGCGTTGAGGGCGGACTATGGTCTCAAGTACAATAATATTGCAGTGCTACCAGTGTTCCGACTGATGTAGCGAGCATTGAAGCAGCACAGAGAGCTGAATTGGAAATAGTTACTGTTGGGCTTCCTTGCTAGCAGCCATTCGGCAGAAGACACAGTCTACTATGTTTCAAGCTCTTCACATACAAAGTCCTGCAGCGCTATATCCTGAAACATACAGGAGACGTTATCAAATTAACACTGTGGGCGAACAACGTAGCAAGAAACAAAAAAGTGATCAAAGCTACGATGTAGCGATCGGTGCCTGTCCTAACGAAAACAAATGCATGCCTGATAATCGTGTTTGCTGAGATCAAGGTTACTGCAGGTTGTGTCGCCCAATTCAATGGCACCCTAGGTTCTATGAGTATGACGCCTAGCATGCATAGTGGTCAAGGCGATTCCTATGTGTGTCGAGTCATATAAACCTCACGAAAGCTTGGTCCTGATCCTGGCGAGAGTGAGATTCAAAATGCGCTACTAGTACAAATGTCCACGGCACTTGATCCCAGCACTGCAAAATTCGTTGCCAAATCAGACCCTTTTGATGTGCGCATCAAGCAGGCTACGCAAGCTCTACCAGCTTATCTGCATGACGAAGTGTAACACTCTTTGTGCATTGCTGGACTAAGTAATTTGTGCTAGCTTGCTTTACACGATCTATCGATACGATTTCAAACGTTTTTGTTGTCGGGTAGCCACTTACTAACTAAGCATGCGATCGCTTGACCAGACGGTCTTCTAGCATTGAAAAAGGTAGAGACCGTGAGTATGAGCTCTCACGGACATTTTACGACTGCTGGACTCCAAGTTTATTGATTCGTGCGCACTATACTGCAAGTCATTTCATGTAAGATCTTCAGACCGAAAGAGAGGGCGCGGAAGCGCATCCCTCCTATTTAGTCCAAGAGCTCTATCCACCGTAAATCAAAGTTTACCTGATGGCTCACATGACACAGTTACAGATGTGTACTCAAGCGATCGTGTCAAGATCAGCCTGCATCAAACACTCAATTGAAGCTTTAGTGCTTCAATTTGAGTGCTTGTGCAGCTTATATACAGCATGGTTTTGCATCGCGAACTTGTGGTGACGTAGCACAAAAAAACTGACGCAGTTAGCGCCATTACAATTCGAGCAAGAGGGTCCAATGGAGTCCAGCTATGTTAGAAACCACTATCCTGTCAGACGCTAGGCCATTTACGCAGTGCGAGCATAAAATCCGGCACATCATGGACTTCGGATAGTCAAGTATGACGGCAGGCACGCAGCATGCCTTCTTTGAATGAAATCTACAATGGAGTATTTGCGTTTTTTTATGGGTCAACACGTGATGCACGAACACTTCAAGTGCAACATCGGACCAACGTGTCTGCCGAGCTGCTCGCTTATTCGTTACGCGACACCGTAAACAGGTTGTATGATGTGCATTTTTGCTTGTACGTACATTTGCAACGTCTCCTACAGCGCCCACTTCGACCAAGATGTTGATGCAATATTGCACAAGCAAATCCTCTCGTGACAAACCTGTCAGCGACGTGCCTAACGATCGAGGTGAAGCAATAGTCGTCTCTGTTCCAGGGTCAGTAGGTCTTAATCGTTTTCGACTTGTGCAGCAATGACGTGCGACCGTACCAGACCACGATACATTCGTTGTGCTCGCAGCTTACGGGTAATGCGACTGCAACAATATTTAATGGCTCTTTTCACACTCAGCTCATCGTGCTTTCAGTTAGCTTTCCATGATCGCATCCTGTACACAGATACCGAACAGCATCATGCAGCTGCAGCCGATCCAAAGATGTAGCTGCTAGGACTACTGGCGACTTGTTGTACGTTTGACCACGTCGATAGAAGGCGACGAAATGATGGAAAGGTGGCCGAAAGCGAGTACGAAGCTCATGAGATCATCATTGTACACTTGAGCTTGACATACTGACAAGCTGGCAAATGGACTCACAGGGCGATGCATGCGAGCGATCTGAGTAACTACAGTGACGACATTGGCTTGATTCCGCTACAACGTCTTGTGACTCGCTACTTTCGATCGGTCCAGTAGCTACGACCGTGAGTCTATTCGATTACTGTCCTTGCAAGAGCTCGTCGTTGCTCAAGAGCGTTGCCTAGCACTAACCGCTACAAATGGTGGCAAATGAGCGTAAAACTGTGGACACGAACCAGCCACCCAAGACGTAGTACTCACTCGGCGACTATTGTTTGGTGCGAACATCTCGTTGGCAACGCATACTACAACGACACCTGTGAATCTTGACACTTGATAGTAACGACCCTTGGAATGGTCCAGGACATTGACTTTGAGTGGCAACAGGGTCTAGAAAGCGCCTTCGTTGCCAACAAACCCCTGTTTGCTGTCTCGGAGATGTATGTTTGTACTACAGACCTGTAAGTTGTGTCTACTTTATCTACAGCCTTCATCCTTTCAATACCAAAGAACAGCTAAGCGTCCGAGAGCCTCAACACGAATCAATAACGATCACGTACACAGCCGCGTCATCCAACTACAGGCAGCAACCGTGCCGCACATTGTCTCGTACCCGAAGGCCGACGAAGTGCGTATTGTATACATATCGCAATGACTGCTGGCATTGAGGACATGTCACCAAAGAACGTCGGCCACGTCCGCCGTGGTCAGTAAGCAAATAGGTGCTCTCGTTTCGCCATTAAGTCACGAGCAGTCGACGGTCCGCAGCAGCTGATCCTGCACCGACATGAAACGGCGATTTGCACATGGTCGGGCAGCAATCGATCACGTCTGTTTCCAATCTCCAGTGTTGCCACCAAACCTTCTACTGCAACAAGACTTGTGGTTGCGGCTTTGTGCTTTCAATTCAATTCAATTCAGCAGACGGTCAGTATCGATGCAGCGTTACCTCCGTGCTTGAAAACCTCGTCGACACATGTACGGACGCGTCTACGTGGTGTAGAAGCCGCGGACGGGGAGTTCTCTCGCTCGTCGTCACCTGGATCTACAGTCGATTCCATTGTTTCGTTGCAACGCAGAGACGACAGCAGGCGAGCAAGCCACAGGCTCAATTTCGACCGGAGCTGTCCACCAAGTGTTGACGTCGCAGTAATCCGTCCAGTCCAGCGCAAGTTCATTTGTTTCGTGCATGGGCGGGCATCTTGTTCTTGTGATGGGGATTGCATGGTCGCCACGGGGACAAGGTCTTGTGAAGGTCGGTGCGAGACACTAGACAAACTCTGGCACGGAACTTGACCTGTTTCCGGTATAAAAAGCCGATATCTGCCTACCATTATTTTACCAGAGACCGTCCTCGGTCGTATAGCTATCGTAGGGATCATCAATGGTCTAGGCAGACGGAACATGTATGCACTAGTTGTAGTAGTAGTAGTAGCGCCTGCACTTGTACTTGTTGTGGGATGAAAGCTGCAACAGTCGTGTCGTTATCGGCACTTGTCCACAAGTCGCCATTGTGTAGTAGTCACCTCGCGTCAGGGCTTTGTAGCGTTCTGGACGACGTCAACGTTTGCTCCTTGAGTGCAACGGGACGACGACCTCGTCCAGAGTCTCTGTCATATCCATGGAAACGCTCAGCGTCGGTCGTGGATGGGCTATCGAAACGCGTTTGCTAATGACGTGCAGCGCCGCCTCGTTTCGCGAGGTTGGACGATGCAGAGTTTCTGTACGTCAGCCTGTTTTTCAGACCGACCAGAGTGCACAACGCACTGCAGTGTGCAAAACGTTGACCGCGTCGCAGCAGACAACCAGTGCCTCCTCTTCGCTGCTCGTGCGGGACATAGCAAAGAGAGACGTCGCTGCTGTGTTTTGTTTTTCTCCGCCTTCTTCTCGTGCAGCACCCCCCCCCCCACTCGGTCTCGAGTCTCTCCGTGCTGCACTTCGCCTTCCCTCCTTCGAACGAGGACAACCATGACAGAGTACACGCTCCAGTCGCTGTCTAATCAGCCGGTACGATTAGCATTGTAGATGCACTCACGCCCCCCCCCCTCTTGCTCAAAGGGGGGGGGGAAGCTGGTTCTCTTGCCACGTGCGACTTGTCTCTAACCGAACGTCTTGACTTGAACAGGGCAACACACTCGGTCACGTCCGGCACCACCAGCTCTCCGGTAAAGAAGTCACCAACGAGAAGGAGGAGGTCGTGTCGGAGCCTAACACGAAACCGCCCTCCAAAGAAGGCATCCCAGCACTGCAAAAGCCACAGGCACCGCAACTGCCAGAGTCTCCGCAACTTCCAAAGTCTTCGGATGCCCCACCAGCAGGGACGACAACCGATTCAAATGGCGGGTTGGTTGCGCAGGGTTCCGCTACCTCTATTTCAACGAAAACGCACAGCACGATGCAGACTTCTGGAGGTGCTATTGCGGGCATCGTCGTGGGAGTTGCCTGTCTGGTCTTCATCCTTGCTGCCTTCATGACCAGGAGGCGGCGGGCAGGCAGCAAGCGCTTTTCATTCCGCAAACGCGATTCGACTTTCGAGAACTCGCGTGCAGTGTCCATCACTTCGTCGAAACTCGAGCCGCCGGGGGATTTCGGGAAACTCAATAGCGGGCGGACTGAGAGTAAGAAGCCGAATATGAGTGGCCTCTTCACGGCGGCCCACGATGATCCGTTCACGGTTCGACACATGCGCAAAGGCGGGATTTGGGACGACCCGGTACTCGTTGCTTCCCGCATTCCGCTCGAGGAGATTCAGATCAAGGAACTTATTGCTCGCGGGGGCTTTGGTCAAGTCTTTACGGCGACGTACAAAGGGCAGACCGTAGCGGTGAAGACGTTGCTACCCGAGACTGCCAAGGACATGGACGAGATCAATGCGTTGTATGCAGAAAGCAAGATCCTCGCCAAGCTGGACCACCCGTGTATTGTCAGCTTTATCGGAATCGCGTGGGGTTCCCTTAGTACCGTTAGCTGTGTGACCGAGTACTTGGTGGGCGGGGACCTTCGTGCACTGCTGAACCACTTCTTAGCGAACCAAACGCGTCCGCAAGGGTTTGACCATGACAAGGTCAAGATTGCACTGAACATTGCTCAAGGGCTGGCCTACTTGCACTCGCTCACGCCCAATATGCTGCATCGCGACCTGAAATCGCGCAATGTGCTACTGACGTCGCAGTTGGATGCGAAACTCACGGACTTTGGCGTGTCTCGTGAGCGATCGGAGCTCATGATGACCAACGCCGTGGGCACTTCTCTTTGGATGGCACCGGAGGTGATGCTGGGCAGCCACTATGACGGCAAAGCTGACGTGTTTTCCTTTGGCGTGCTATTGAGCGAACTGGACACGCATTTGATGCCGTATGCGAACGTGCGAAATGCCAATGGGCAAAAGCTGACGGAGAATGGCATTCTCCAGAAGACTTCCACGGGTCAACTACAGGTGGAGTTCTCCCGTGATTGTCCACCTGAGCTTTTGAGATTGGCCCACGCGTGTCTCGCTGTGAACCCGAACGATCGCCCCACAGCGGCCGAAGCGCTGTATAAATTGCAAAGTGCGCTCACGTCGTTCGAAGTCGAGGAAGTGGCGCTGTAACTCGATGAAGACTAGAGTCATTTTTTAAGATAGACGTTATACGATATGAAGTTTAATGTGCGACCAACTCGAGTGAGCAAAGTCAAGTCTGTCTCCTCGGCTCCCGTGACAATCGTTCATAGTCATGGAACCGACCAGCAAGGATTGATGAGGAGGAGGCATTTCCAATCCGCCTCATGGAAAGCAGCAGCTTGTCTTTCCTCAATTGAATACAGTGCTATACCAGCAACAGGTTGACGACACATGACCCTCTGTGCTCGTTTTGCACCGGTTCCGACTATCCAAAGTCAATGCAGTCGCACGAGTTGGTTCCAACGTTAGGCATCAAATTTCCTGTAAGTCGATGAAATCGATCGACCTTCGGTAGAATAGGTTGATAGAGCGCAACAAGGTCAATCACAGCTACTTGTGTCGGTCGCAGTGGACGGACATGGCTAGTAAAGCCAACGGCTGCACCATCCCAAGCCGCAACTTCAAAGTTTTGCTGCATAAATGCAAGTACAAGTCGGCAACGATCAACATTTTGTGGCAGAATGCTCTTCCTGTGTCTACGTAGAGTTAGCAAGCAGGCAATCCAACTCTAGCCACCATTAGCATCACATCCTACATCGTAGCACTTGCACCGATAGAACTTGCAGGACAAGTTTATCACTGGAGGCAAGCGCGCTTTACGCTTACAAAAAGACATCTCCGAGACGATGTGTTCACTTACATCCAGTAGCTACAGATACTGCGTCGATTGAGATTTGGACACAATGCAAACTCGCGATGACGTTGCAGTCCAACAAAAACGTCATCGACATGCGATTGATCGGGAAGACCGAGAGGCGGAGAGGTCAGTCATACTGGACTGACTGACGTCGATGGTTTAGTGGTGAAACTCAATGCAGAAACTGGATCACAACGATACGTGACGGTCGAATCCGCACGCGGATGCAGGACCCATTGCGATGGGTCGTACATGTCAGTAGAGTGGTCCCACCCATTGCAACTCAGAGTCAGACCAGTGGGTAATGAATTTGCCAACCTCAAAGGCGGAAAAAAGGTAGAACGAAGCTACTTGTCCTTGTCGACACTTTAACGGCAGTACCCTAATCTGCTCACCTATTGGGGTCGGTCGGTTCTATCGGATCCGATCATTTTCCATGCATTATCGACTCGAATGCTCTTTCATCCACCGTAACATATCACCACAAGCTATAGGATAATCCCCGTCGTTCTCAAGTGATGATGTCCCGCTATTCTTGTTCGTACAAAATCAATACACAGTCGACATCAAATGACACATCAGCAGCACCAGAGTCAGTGGGCAATAATTGGTACCCACTATCAATCGTCGTGCAAGTGTACGATTGGTCGGTCATCTACGCTACGTCATTCAGAACACCATGCTGTTCCGAAACGACCTATTGCGCTATGCCATGACCCGTCCAAGACAACAGCGAAGCATTTCAAGGCTCTATTCCTCGCGTATAGTGCCTGTAACCCCCAAGGTGACCGAAAAGAAGGACCACTCGAGCGTCTCGACACCTCCGGCTCTGCAACGCCAGCAGCTGGAATTCTGCTGTATGTTGTGCGGGTGGGACGTGGCGTGCGGTACCTGCCCCTTCAGTTGGTACGATTTCAATCCGAAAAAGTTCCGCTCAAAGCGTCGAGGGAGAAACGGAGACGCTGACGGGAGCGCGTTTGCAGCTCGTGCGGGCGACATCCAGCACGCACTCGAGGTATTGGGCATCCAGATGTCGAGCAATGGGCACGGAAGGACTTTGCCCACCCAGAAGCAAGTCAAGGCCGCGTTCCGAGTCAAAGCGCTCGAGTGGCATCCAGACTGCAACCGCGATCCTCAAGCCCAAACGCGATTCCCCGAGATCCTACGAGCTTACGAGCTGCTACTCCATTGCGCCAGCTAGCAGCAAACCCAGTTAGCGACAGACTCGGTAGTGTACCACAGTAGTCAGTAAAAATACGTCGGAACGAACGACGTTCGACATTGCGTAACCCGCCCGTATACCCCTTCCACATCCCATGTATACACAAAAGTACCCAAACTAATCACAGTGTCGATGACCAAAATCCCACCTGTCAACATTCATCAACACCCCCACCCTTACTTGCAACACTCCATGTAACGTCGCCTTTTCCACCTCCTATACCCCATACCCCGTCCAATCCGATCCTCCCCATCCATTTTCCCGTGTCGCTTTCCCGCCAGTCTTTCAACGACCGTCGCCTACTTGCTCCTCCTCATGTTCTACTCGCAGCTCATCTTGGCCAGGAAAGGGCCTCTGGGCAAGATCTGGCTCGCTGCGCACTGGGACAAGAAGCTCAACAAGCACCAGATCTTCACGTCCGACATCCACAGCTCCGTCCAATGTATCGTCCATCCCCAAGTCCCTCTCGCGCTGCGTGTGTCGGGCCACTTGCTGCTGGGCGTCGTGCGCATTTACTCACGCAAAGTCAAGTACTTGTACTCGGACTGCAGCGACGCGTTGGTCAAGATGAAACTGGCCTTCCGTCCAGGCGCAGTGGACTTGCCTGCGACGACGCAACAGGCGGCGCCGCATACGATCAATGTGGCCCACTTTGGTGAATTTGAGGCGGAAGTGACGTATTCGATTGAGTAGGTGGACCACTTTTTGTTGTCATTTCGACAAGATAGGGAGGGGTATTGTTGTAGTGCTACTTTTTAGCGGTACTTTTGGTTTTGGTGTCAAACGATGAGGTTTTTTGTGTGTGTGGGAGGTTATTTTGTTTGACGGCTGCTATTGCGGTGTTGTGTTGGTTTGGTTGTAGGGCGATTGCTGTGCCGACGTTGGACGAATGGATGGCTGCGTCGAGTCAGACGATGGCGAGGCGTCGGGATATTACGCTGGCTGATCCGCTGGATCGAAGCAGCTTAGAGAGAGGTGCGAGCGAACGTGTTGCTGTTTTATTCGAACTTTTGTTGTTGTTGTTTTTATTGAAGTAGTCATGTTGTTGTTGTTGCTGTTGTTGTTGTTGTTGTTTCTCTTTTGTTGTAGATGCTATTTCGATGGAAGATTCGTTTGGGGGTGGCGATGGAAGTGATTGGCAGGCGTTTGATCTAGATGACAATTTTGGGAGCTTCGGACTCGACGCGAGTGCTGTCAGTGACATTGAGATCGCACGTGAAGCCGATGCCCCCATGTTGCCGCTGGATGACTCTGGACTTTTAGATGTCAGAGACAAGTCGTTGGACCGAAGCTCTGTCGTGGTAGAAGAAGAGATGCCGGGATTTGGACTCCATGACGCGTCGTTTGAGATGCCTGCCGACGCTAAAATGGAGATTGGTGATCCGCTTGACGATCCGGCGAACCTTAGTGGCAGGACTATTGATATTAGCACGGATATCCCGGGAAGCATCGATGGCTCGACGCGTGCGTCGCTGGATGCTGCATTGGTCAATGCGCAAGTGGAGACGAGCAGGCTTAAGAAGAAGCGGAAAATTGCTCGTGACAGCGTCACGGAGCTGACGTCGACATACTTGAAACAGGGAATGGTGGATACATCCGACATCACCCGTACGCGAGAAATTACGTATCGGAAGACTGCAGAAAATAAGAGCGACTTTGACGTGCATATAGGCGCGGATATATTTGCTCGTCCGTGCATGGTCGACATGTCGGACAAATTGCTGAGTATGTTCAAGTATACTATGAAGAAGCGAAAGTTCCCGTTTGCTTCCGAACAGAAAGAGAGTAACCAGACCGATGATATCGAGCTGACTCGACGCATGAGCTCGACCTCACGCATGAGTTCGAACTCGGTACGTTGCAAATTGGTTTGCCAGTCAGAACGATCACTCACTGCTGCTTTGTTCTGGACAGACTGGTTTGGATGTGACGATGGGTTCGTGCGATGGCTCAATGCTGCATGATATCGAGGAGGAAAACCGGTTCGAGTTTGCTGACATGGGCCCAGCCGAACCGTACGTTGAATGAACGTGACCAGGATGAGCTCTTTATTGCTGGAAAGTGCTGAACGTTGCGACTGCATTCTAGTGAACGTCTCGACGAGGGTTTTCCAGACTACGACATCGGGGCACCATTCGAGCCACAAGACCAGGATCTGGAAGATTTGAACGTGGATATCGAGCTAGGCGCTGTGAACGACATCCGAAGCGACGCGCAGGACGGTGCTGCCCTTGATCATACAGATGCTTCGACGGCTCAGCACAAGTGGCATCCACACACTGTAAAGGTGATGAAGGTGCTGCGGCAGTCGCTCCACGACAAAGAGGAGGTTACGTACAAGCAGCTAACGAAAAAGACCCAAGACCGACGAACAGCTGCCGCGCTGTTCTTTGAGCTCCTACAGCTAAAGACTCTCGACTATGTGGACGTGGAGCAAGCTGCGCCTTACGCCGATATCAAGGTCTCGAAGGCTGCTCGGTTCTCAGAGCACATCCCGGCGGTGGATCGTATTACTAGCTGAGAGTTTGCAATTTTGATGCGTTCGACTAAATATGGCTTATGAGGGGACAACGTGTTTCGCTATTCCAGGTTGTGGTTGTTCTTATGAGTGATTGCTGTCAGTCAATGTACAAGAAGGCTCCGGTTATACAGGTGCGTGCATTCTTGAGAACAAGCTTGTGCCATGACCAGGAAGCGTCAAGAGATAGCAGAGACCTTGGCATGTGATGTATAGGGTCACCCGACTCTTAGTCGTTGGAACCGAAGATGCACATGACATGGCAAGACCACCGCCCATATATGAAAGAGTCATTAGGAATTGTCGATACGTATGGTGTCAAGGAATTTCAGGAGCTGAGTGGTGTACACGAATGGAGTACTTGGAATGCCATCAGCTTTGCGGTTTGGTGGATACAGTTTTGTCGATGAAAAAGCTGGAGAGAGGGTTTGCTATCAGTTTGAACTACCTCACCGATCGCAAACGATGAAGACCAGCACTGTCGAACCAAGGACAAATTACATGGAAGCCGCTCTTGCAGTCGAGAAAAAAAACTGGAAGCTCTAGCAGTTGTGATGAACAAGAACCGTGGATTTTTAAAAAAACTACTCGGACTTGTTGTCATAGATACGACACGTCGAGCTGACGAGGATGCGATAATGAAATGCATGGTGACGATGAAGCAGATGTGGCTGCTCGCGACTATATGGTGACTACAATAGAGCCATTGGAAAAAGAGTGGGTGTGTGCTGGACGTAGGCGGCAAGCAGTGAGCAAGTATGTTTGTTGGGCCAGTATTCCGATGAGACTGACTAATGGGACCTTTTTAAGAGACGCTGGACTGCGCTTATGGCGTGCGTTTTTTACCGACAATTACCGCTGTTGGCAGAAGGCAGCACCAGAAATGATGGACAAATCAATGGAATGTCAGCTCGAGAGAGTTCCTCACGAATGATACAATGTCGTCTGCACATGGGCTTTTGCTTCCAGGATTGTCTTGGTGGGACTTGACTACAACGCTATCGATCATGTGGTTAAAATCTCGGTGTTGTGCTCGACGTCATGCAAGTCTTGTACAGATTAGCAAAGAAGCTATGCGAATTGCATACTGAGATGGACGCAAAAGCACCAGCGACGCTCACTGCTTCATCGCCAATGGGGCTATCAACACAGAACAATCATGCACGCGGTCTACCTGCTTCTACGTCCCATTCATCGGGGTCGATTTCGTAGTCACGTTCTACGACGGACGCCAACTACGAATCGAGTGTACACATTGTTGGACTTTTGTCTGCAGACTTTACTACCTGCAATAAGGTGTGAAATGAATCGGTCAAGAGGCAAAAGCTGTCGTGACATTCGAACTGGAGCGTATGCACAATGTAATTGACTCGACAGGATGTTTTTAGCAGCAATTCTCGATGTAGCCATTCATGCGAGGCTCAAGTATATCCTTCCTTGGACTACCACTGGTTTGTGGGCACGCATTTTGCAGATCGAACAAGCTGTTGCGGTTGCCGTAATGGAGATCCGAGGTCGTATTACAAATAGATGGACGTGTACTTTGGATTTCTATCCGGTGCGGAACGATGACTATACGCTTTGTGGTGACCATCTTGCATCGAGTATACACGTGACGGTTTTATCGAGACATTTCTGTAAAGTTGGGGTACGATCGGGGTACGATGCTTATTTCAGCGCTGTTTTTACGATTTTCATAGGTTTGTGTGCCGATCTGAAATATGGTGAAAATGCAGCTTCTCTGAATTTATCTTTGCCTCCGATATGAGGTCATCAGGGCTTAGGTTCATGTAGTATGTGAGGTAAATGGTTTCTCTAGATCTATCATGTCGTCGATATGATATGATCGAGCAGCAGGCTGATGCGAAATGTCAGCTATGCAGATTTCTTTTCAACTATGCCTGGTATATGACGAAAGTTTAAGCATGTGAGTGCAATACGATTGGGTTTCGAAAAATGGAGGGTCAACAGTATGACAAGCTCGAGCTTCATAACTAATTTAAAGAGAACTCGCTCCATTGACTCGACTTTTACTGCAAACATTAAACAATCAAAGTCGACGTAATAACGCGCAAGCCTACAAATCCGTTCATGTGAGGAGCTCTAGCATGCAACTTTTGCAACAAGATACCAGGCACCTGCCTTGGGCCGCCGTGGTTACCCAATGAACCCATCTGAAGGTAGGAAAAGTTCCATAATACGCACTGCATGCGTGCAACATCATTCTGTTGATCGGTATCTTGTGTTCATTACTTCAAGAAATAGGCCACGGAAACTCTGTAGCAACGCCTCCTATGACAAGCTGGTGTCAGAAGGGATACTACCAATTTCTTCGCACGCTTCTCACAGCCATCTGTATCAAGAATGTCATCTGCGTCACATTACAACATTACGTCGACTCTAGGTTTAGAGACCATAGCATTACGACCCTTATTAAACTGCAAGTTCACACAGTGCTATCGATCACGTGTTTGTCAAACCGACTTACCCTCTAAAATGTCGAAGGTTAGCACGATGAGCCACTTGACCGCCGTTGTTTGTGTGCTGAGCGAACGCGCCAAGTGTGGGTAGATTTTTAAATGAGGTTGTTGTGACTCGACATAGCGCATCAAGCACGTTGTTTTATCCGTAATGACGATGTACCATTTAAGTAGATATGAACAACTAAACTCGTCGTCTCTCAACAAATAGCACCTCCCACGACAGAAAAACAGCCGCCGACACAACATAACGCACCCCCTCTCCAAACCATGCACCGTTCACACAACATTCCCTCGTCACCTACGTACAACCTCACGCTACTCGCCATCAAGAAATGGTTGGTTCACAGCCGTCCACCGTCCATCCAGCAGCTCAAATCTCACTCAGCAGCATCCTTTACAAGAAGAAGCGGAAGACAGACCACAGACTCGTACAATGGCGGCCAACATCTCCAAGAAGCGCAAATTCGTCGCCGACGGTGTGTTCTACGCCGAGCTCAATGAGCTCTTGCAGCGTGAGCTCTACGGGGACGGGTACTCTGGCGTGGAAGTGCGTGTGACGCCCATGCGGACCGAGATCATCATTCGTGCCACTCGTACCCAAGAGGTGCTGGGCGAAAAGGGACAGCGCATTCGTGCCCTCACGTCCGTCGTCCAGAAACGTTTTAACTTTCCCGATGGAGCTGTTGAGCTGTACGCTGAGCGCGTGGCCAACCGCGGTCTGTGCTCGCAGGCTCAAGCCGAGTCGCTCAAGTACCGTCTTCTTGGTGGCTTGGCAGTGCGTCGTGCTTGTTACTCGGTCGTGCGCTTCGTCATGGAAGCTGGAGCTAAAGGTGTGCAGGTCATTGTATCGGGCAAGCTGCGTGCTCAGCGTGCAAAGGCTATGAAGTTCAATGAGGGCTACATGGTCAAGACGGGTAATGCATCGCAAGAGTACGTGGACACGGCGGTGCGTCACGTCATGATGCGTCAAGGTGTGCTTGGCGTCAAGGTATCGATCATGCTGCCTCATGACCCGACGGGCAAACAGGGACCGAAACGCGCATTGGACGACGTGGTGACGATCCTCGAGCCCAAGGAGGAGGTGTACCGTCCGTACGTGGAACCCACGACGCCGATTGTGCCTGTAGCTGCTCCAGTGGCTGCTGGTCCTGTGGACTCAATGTACCAACCCATGGCTTAAGGGTCTTTGATCTTCTTGTAAGGACAGTGTAATGGTAATCCACCGCCTTCTTCTTCTTCTTGTTCTCGTCCCGATGTACCTGATGGTAACACAGAAACCATATGGCATTGTAGCAGGTTCTGTGACCTTTTTCTGGTCGCTTTTTCGTGATGACTCAGGAGGTCTAGAATTGTTCGATAATTGAATGGCGGAGAGACCGCTGCAACGTGCGACTTGTGCGAGATGCAAACGTCCCGCTTGCGTGTGCTATTGCCCGTCGTTACCCGCCGCACGCTTGAGAACGGAGCGGACGCACGTCTTGGTCTTGCAGCACAAGCACGAGACGCATCGACGTGCGGCGATTTCGTCCGTGCCAGTATTGACGCAGACGCTAGCGAACGTGAGACTTGTGACGGTGGACGATGATTGCGACTGTAGTCCTGGCGTGAGTGACGACCTCGACAAGTGCTTGTACAACGGAGGGGATGCGACGATTGACGCCGCGCTCATTTTGTTCCCGGACGATCGTGCTCAGCCACTTGAATCGATTTGCGGCAAGGCGAAGAGTATCGGAGAGCCGAAGCGAGTGCTGCTCATTGTCATTGATGGCACGTGGAGGGAAGCCAAGAAAATTGCACGACGCAATCGACAAGTGTGGGAACAAGCTGCAAGAAGTTGGAAGGCGCGAGGAGCTAGTTTCCACTACGTTTGCCTGGAGAATGGGGAGCGTACTGATGGTGCTCGTGCTCGTCGAAGCATCTACGGCGACTTGAGGCGGTGCGTACAGTTGTACAGTGACATTCGAAGAGCTTGAGCTGGACTTGACTGAGGATGTGCCGTGTGGATACTCTGCAGAGAACCGATGGAAGGCTGTATGTCGACACTCGAAGCGGTCGCGTCGGCATTGTATGCACTCGAACCTAGAGAAACTCGTCAGACCCTGCACGATGCTCTGTTGCGTGCTTTCAAAGCGATGGTATCGATCCAGGAGTGGTACCAGGAGCAAGGACGAGTGGCCAAACTGAAGCAGTATGGAGGGATCTCGAAAGCTAAAGCAGTCGAGATGAAGCGACTGGAGCGACAGCAGCAGCAGCTTCAAGCGAAGGTCGAAACTGTGACTGCTGAAAAGAACCCGTTGACGCATGTCAAACGTGATTACGTGTTTTATTCCAGCCGGACGGACCTGCAACACCGCCAACAGCTCTTGCAACATGTATATCTTGCTGTCGAATAAGTCTGCAGCGTGTACTTTGTGCAATAGCTTACTCCTGACAATGACTTACTTCTGCCAATGAGCAGGGCGAGGTGGTCACGTGTACGTACGACGAGGCGCGAGATCATTGCGTGGAGCTCAATCGCGATCGAAAACGTGGCCAACGCATTGCAATGCTAGCGCTTGATGCGTTCCGAAGAGAGGCCTCAATGGTGACACAATCGTAAACGGACGCAAGAAAAAGTAAAGACGCGTAGTACCTGACCGCCAATTGACCCTCATAGAGCGGCTGCGATCCAGATCATGCTATCGTATACTGCAGACTACCAGAGAGGCAGCACTTGTTCATCGCAGCATGTGTACGCGTTATGCCGGGTACTTAACCATTTATAGTCTCCATGCCCGCGTGCATTTGATATTATCCGCGACATCCAGACACCCGCTGAGAGTCTGGTCAGATACCGGACAGGACAGATACTGGCATCAAAATGTTGACGGGTGGTCGGCACATGGTAGTATCATCAAATTGAGTTGCACTCAACTCTTGGACAGGACTTCTCCAAGGAATAGCTAACAACCGATTGTTGACTTCAACTGCCTGTTGAGGGTCACCGTCACCTACTGCTTCTTACGAATCCACTCATAAAAAGTGTCACGCTCAGGTCCACCAGTTCTTGCCGTCGGAACAAAGACATCCATATTCCACATAGACGCTCTTCTACCAGCACCCTTTGATGATTCCATACCTTTAATCGGCCCCGGACGCAACGAACGTTTCGTTCCGTGCACCTCTACGAGTCCCACGATTCATAAACAGGTCTTCCAAATGTCGGCTTTGATGAGCTGAGGATACAGCAAAAAGAGGTCGTGCGACGTCTACTTATCATCCAGTCGTTCATCCACCTCGATCATTCTTGAACGACCATGAGTCGACTGCAATGCCAATCGCTCACAATAATCGCTTTTGTCTTAATACTTTACAACACTTCGTCCAGCTCTGCCGTCAAGTCAAAGGTCATCTCGATTCACCGCGACAAAACGTGCTCAACCGCCCCGCTCAATATGCAGGTCACGAATTCGTCATCAAGTTGTCAAGAGCAGGGCTGTAGCTCTATTCCATTTGGTAGCCACACATATTACGTCCACACACAATGCACCGACATGGACACCCACACGTTCATAGCTGGTGCATTCACAAGCACAAAACATATCATTGTGGACCAATACCGTCACTCAAACTGCAGCAGCGAGTCGTACATCGAGACAAACGCTGTACAGGACTTGAGTGACTGTTTACCATACGCAATTGACCCGACTTCCAATGCACCAGTCGCTGCAACAATCGCCTCAATACTCGCTGACGGTGGCGTAACAATGGTCTTCTTCGCTGCACTCAACTGCAGTCAACAACCACAAGCTGCAGCGATTCTGAGCCGAGCGCAAGTCACCGAGCATTCGTGTTACCAAGCCAGCAGATTCTTCATCGGCGGTGACATTGATCAGTCCACAATCACCACCAGCAGCTCCAGTAGCAAAGATACCCCCACTTCAAGTTTACTCGACGACAGCGCTATATTCGGGTCATCTTCAAAAACGTCTGTCGACTCGCACTCAGCGACGAGTGATGACGACCAATCATCTCAAGGAGCACCTTTTGTCACTGCTCTTGCAATAGCTCTAGTACTGACCCTTGCGTTCGTGGGTCTAATTGCAAGAAACTGGCACTCAACAAATCGGAAGCTGCAGTTCACACGACCTCCTGAACCAGATGATAGCGTCGCCATGCTGGAAACCAGTGACACTCTTTTCATGTCGAAACCAATCAATGGTCGGACGTTTTTCCTTCAAAGTAGTAGCAGCACGTGCTCGACACTTCGCGGACAGATCCCTCCTGCCACCTGTTCGTTCATCGGTCCTGCTCTTTCGAGCTTGACTGCCAACTACCAACGGCTGCGTCGCACTTTTATTGTACCGGCAGCCTCGACGATCCGAAGAACAATCCGGATGAATCGACCATGGGAAGACGATTTCGTCATCGCAGCACGTATCCCTCGTGGCAAAGTGACCGTGGACCAACTCCTGAGTCGAGGGGGCTTTGGGGTTGTCTACTCGGGCCTTTACAACGGTCGGCGGGTGGCTGTCAAGATGCTGTTGCCCGAAACTCGTCGCAATATTTCACATGTCATCAACTTATTGGCAGAAGTCAAGATGATGGCATCGATGGAGCATCCCCATATTGTCGAATTCATTGGTGTCGCTTGGGACTCGTTGACCAATATGTGTGTCGTATCGGAGTTCATGGCTGGAGGTGACTTGCAAGCTTTGCTGAGTGACTATGACGAACAGAAACATCCAATGGGCTTTAGCAGGGACAAGCTCCGAATTGCTCTGCACATCGCTCACGCACTCGTGTACCTGCACTCGCTCGACCCTCCAATAATTCATCGTGATCTGAAATCCAAGAACGTGCTGCTGAACGAAAAGCTGGAGGCCAAACTGACGGATTTTGGGACTTCTCGAGAGCGGGTCAATGAGTCGATGACTGGAGGTGTTGGGACGTGCTTGTGGATGGCCCCTGAAGTCATGATTGGTGACAGGTATGACGATAAAGCAGATATGTTTTCCTTCGGTGTCGTCCTGTCCGAGCTGGACACGCACGCATTTCCATACTGGCAGGCACGAGACCCGACTGATTCAAGTCGACCGATGCCCGAGCCAGCCATATTGCAAATGGTAGCAACCGGGAAACTCCGCGTTAAATTTTCGAAACAAGCATGTAAAGCCGTCGTCGAGCTGGGCACAGCTTGCGTCTCTTTAGACCCCAAAGCACGACCGACAGCATCGGAGGCGCTGTACGTATTGCACACGGTAATAGCACAAGACGCTGATAGCGATGGTGGTGCTAAAATAGCAAGCAAGTGAATCACACGAACAAGCAAGTAAATCACACGAGCACAACACGCTTGTGACATTCGCACCGTCGTCGACTAAAGTGATGCAACCAGTTGCGACGACAGTCTGCCATTAAAATGTCGTCGAACATCCTGGTTTACAAGGTCAAGAACGTGGTTGAAGCCGTGCTTCAGAAGCTCGGTGACTTCTGCGGGCGCAGCTGCACTAGAACATTTACGGCGAAAGAAGCGGAGCATTCGCAGAGCCTGGTCAAGCGTTCGGTTCTCCACCTCGACCAAAATGCGCGAGTAGATGGCATCAAAAGCTGCCAATTGGGCTTTATTGTTGGCCACCTGTTGTCCATCATCACCACTTTCATCGTCGCATACAACAACGGCACTCCGAAGATTTTTGGCAAGGTTCGCGTACAAATCTTCGATCGATGACAATACAACTGGCTGCGGCTTTTCTTTTGCCACTTGGTCAAGATTGATGGCACCTGGTTGACCCTTGGGTCCAGGAAGTGGAACTGTCATCGGATTAAATTTGCGCTTCTTTGCGTATCGATCGACCTCTCTACGAATCGGGAGTGGTAGCGACTCGTACACTTCCAAGGCCACTTGGGAGATTCGGATGTCATCAAGCGCGTCTCCTCTTTTCGGTTCTCCAATTGAAGTCTGAGCCAGTCGGCGATTTGATTTCGAATCAAACATGTTTCGTGCGAGGTTCTTTGGTCGCAGAGGCGCTTTGCCGTTGGTCTTCCGTTTTGGTGGTTGACGACTTTTCGGGACAGCAGTCGATGTTGGCGCAACTCGACCGTAAGAAGCCAGTATTTCCCGCTGCAGTTGATCTGGTAACTCGTCTAGCACCTCCATGTTAATCTGCGAGAACGCCGTACTTACGTAATTGTTTCTATCCGTGCTCTCTTGCTTTCTTGCTCCGCCGTCTACTCGCTCAGGATCGCTCTGCTCTCGCGATGGGTGCAGTATCGATTTACTTTGCGCAGGATCGTTTAGCCACGCCTCAAAAAGCTGCCCACTTCTCTGACTCGTGTTCGGGGCCCTCAAATCCAACTTTGAGGCCTGCACTCCAACTCCACGGAGCTCCTTGCTCGGAAAATTGAATTGTCGGAGCAACTCAATGCAGACCATGCTAATCACAACCTCATCGTCTGTTGCTTGAGATAGTACATGGCTTTTAGAAAAATTATCGCAAACACCGTGGCCCATAAACTTTGATGGCTCGACGGGCGCTCCTTCCGCCCGCTTCTTAATCAGCAGCGTCAAACATTTGGCACGTGCTTTCAGGTTCCGAAGACGGTGACTTAGCTCCTCACCCAGCGCTTTCAAGAATACAGTTGCGTCTCCCCAATACTCGAAACGAATCCCAAAATTTACGACTGCTGACACACTCTTACGCGTCATGTTGGACTCCACTGATAACGGGCTGACATCATGTCCTCGAGCGTTTGCAAACAATTTTCTACCGGACGCTTGACCGAGAATTCGCACGAGTTCGTCTTTCGACTTTAATACGAGTTGTTGGACATTCTCAACGCTATTATCGTCAAGTTTCGACCGTATCTTGTGTCCGACTCCAGGCAAGTCACTGATCCTGAGCGACAGCATGAAACTTTCCGCCTGAGACGGGTCACCAATGTGATATATTCCGTCCGGTTTTGCCTTTTTCGAAGACAACTTTGCAAGAAGTAGGTTGTACGACACACCTACACTAGCAGGACAACGAGTTTGCTCAAAAATCTCTCGGCGAATCGTCGTTGCCTTCTCCATTCCACTCGTCCCTCGCTCAAACTCAAGAAACGCTTCATCACAACTGACCGCCTGCACGTATGGCGTATGCGAAAAAAAGATGTCGTAAATCTGAAAAGACACGCGCTGGATGGCATCGAAGTGGTACGGCAGCACCACCAATTCAGGGCACAGCTCTTTTGCGCGCTGCATGAACATCCCGGCTCCCACCCCTTTCGCGCGTGCCAAGTAATTGCACGACGAGATTTCTGACGAACCCGCATTACCCGAGTGAGCAACAGCAACAGGCAGTTGCTCGAGCTCGGGTCGACCTCGCGTTGCTACAGCCACGAAAAAGCAGTCCATGTCCACATGAAAAATCACCCGGTCGTTTGACAATGCCGACGCTCTCTTCACTCGACCTCCCTTATACTTTGCCTGGAAGTCACCCGCTTTTTGCTGGAACGTAGCCCGCCACGTACCGATGTGATGCAATCTTGACTTGGCAAAAAAGTGTCGCACGAACTCAGGTCCATCTCTTGTTGAATTTGTCTTGAGTTTTGTAGATCCGTTCGCATAGTTGTCCATCACAGTTTGTGGCAGCTGATCATCAAACTCGTCCTCGGATTCCTCTTCTGGTTCTTCTTGCCCTAAAGCCACGATCGCTGTCGTGTCTTCATTGTTGCCATAATCAATTTGTTCAGGGATATCCGTAGCATGCTTCGACGCTGGATTTGGAGCACTAGTACTTGACAAAGCTTGTGCTGCCTTAACCTCATTTTTAGCAGCTAAATCGTCGATTTTTACTGAATCTGTCGAATAGCATGAGTCCGGTGCACGCAAGATGCTGCTCTGTGTTGGATCGGCGAAGCCTCGATACAAAAATGGCTGCACGGGCAACAGTTTCTTCTGCTCGATACTGTGCACGACCCAGTCCGGGTGCACAACTGGAACTGGACGCCTCGCTTTTCTGCCCTCACACAAATCCACGGAATTAATACGAACGCTCTACATTTTAGCGCTGATACAACAGACACAAGTACAAAAAAGAGCTCACTGAAGCTGCAGTAATTTCGATGCTGGCACGTGAGTGGCTATAATGTGCGTCACGCGACTTGTGTCGTAATGTTCAAACCCGCCGCCGTGCAGCAACATAAGCTCGCGAAGCTCTTCTTTACTCGGAAGTGTATACCCGTCCACGTATACATGGACCCCCTGGAACATCCGCGACGCTTGGACACTGGGCGACGCCGCTACCAAGCTCTCATTCTGTCCTCTTAGCTTTTGCAACTTATGCGACATGTACACGCCAAGGTTGCCGTCATGGTGCTCGCCCACGCGCTTTTGCGTGTACCCATCACCACGTCGGCGTCGCATCACGATGCTTACGTTCGTTCGTTCGTTAAGTACGGGCCAGCAGCCGCATCGAGCTTCTTTTTTTCAGCCAATCATCGATGGCTAGAATCCGTACCCATCTCTCTTGATCGATGTGCACGTTTGGCGCTGCAGTCCATTTATTCACAAGAGTGACGACGACCTCCACCCGCTCCGTCTGTCACTTTTGTCAATCAAGCAGGCTCTCGTCAGTCACACTTTGGAAATTTCAGAAAACGAGTGAGTGGTGAGATATCAGCGGTAGCTCTTCGTTCCTTTGACGATCGATGGCTCCTGCCCCAACGACTTTAACCCGCAGCGACCACGACGTGGTAATCCTCCTGCAGCCACCGACGTCCACAATGCAAGCCGTGCCTACCCCTTTACTAACTCAGGAGCAGCAGCAGCAACAACAGACGCTGGCAATACTGTCCATGGCACTGCCAACCCGCACCGCAACGGATTGCTCCGAAACTCAGGAAAAGCTCGAGAAAATGGCTGCAGCTGTCACGACGCTGCTGGAATGTATCGGAGAAGATCCGCAACGTGAGGGGTTACTCAAGACGCCCATGCGGATGGCCAAGGCGTTGCTGTATAACACCAAGGGGTACGGCCAGAGCTTAGCTGAGGTGCTGAACGAAGCTGTTTTTGAAGAAGACCATGACGAGATGGTGATTGTGCGGGACATTGACCTGTACTCCATGTGTGAGCACCATATGGTCCCGTTCACGGGCAAGGTGCACATTGGCTACATCCCCAATGGCAAAGTGCTGGGACTGAGTAAACTCGCTCGGGTGAGCGAAGTCTTTTCGAGACGGCTGCAAGTCCAAGAGCGACTGACGAAGCAGATTGCGACTGCTATTATGGGCGTCATTAAACCAAAGGGCGTGGCTGTCGTGATCGAAGCGACGCACATGTGTATGGTGATGCGGGGCGTGGAAAAGAGCGGAGCGAGTACAGTCACGAGCTCGGTGCTTGGAGTGTTCAAGAGTGACCCACGCACTAGGAGTGAATTCATGTCGCTCATTCACAGTAGAAGATAGAAGAGGGAGAGAGGGAAAGAAGAAGTGGCAATATCAGGACGAACGTACATTTGGTGCTCTGGACAAGAGATCAAGAAAAAGCTGAACTCGAGGCAGACCATCATATCTGCGTGCACGTCAATGGCAAAGCGGTGCTAGGGAGGAGACTTAGGATACACGTCTTTTTGACAGGCGCGTTTTGTGGATAATGCTGTGCTTTTGCCTTGTTGGTGTTAGCTTTGGAAGCTGGGAGTTGGTATGAGTCCAGCGGGCTTGGCGCTTCACGATGATTCGATCACTACGACGACAGCCTGAACGTAGTTGTTAAGCGAGGTGCAGTTTGTTTAACGATGGTTGCACCCGCTATTGATGGAGAAGGCACGTAATTAACGTACAGATGTGTATATTGCTGCGCTGCCCACACTTGGAGTTCGTTATCCATCATCTTTGTTCGGCTTCCAGCGTGCTGTTTTAGGAACGAGGTGCTCTGCAGTCACACGTGCACTGGATGCAACGTTCAGTGTTATCATCGGTGTCGCCCAGGAACGAAAGCAAAGAGACGTTGTAAGATCGCTTATATTGTTTCGTCGTTATTATCTTGCACTTGCAGCGACCATCTAGTTCTTGGTGATCCAGCAAATGGAGGTGACATCCCAGTCAGCAAGTTAAGGTACGTTTGTTGTGATGCTCGGAAACTTGTTGCTGACAGTGCTCACCCTGTTGTCCATTATATGCGAGCATGAAGCCACGATGACGACGCTAGTCTTGCTGAGTATCGAGGTAAAAGACTTGAGGGTGCGCGTATATCCAACTGCAAGCGATGACCGCTGATCAGTCCTTCGAGCCGATTAGAATTCACTTTGTAGCTATGCGTCACTGCTTCCCGGGTCAGCTCAGTGTCATTCAGCAATACACCGGCACAGTAGAGACGTCAGGCCACCACAGGCACTTTTCAAAGCGACGTTGAACTCGCGCAGGTTCGTCGTTACTCCTGTTCATCACGGATATCCGAAGACCAGTACGTCGTAACAACATCCCCATGATCGTACATCTTCTACCTCGATAATCGACACCTCCTTGAACGCGCCATGCGCAGCAGGAACAAATTTCACTGGTACCGACAGCGGCACATCATGCCGTGACCAGAAGTGCATTGCAAAAACCGATGCAGACTGCCGATGTTGGGGTCTGACTACCAACACCCGATCTCCTTTGCTGTCATACCAAATCTTGCAAGCTGCACGACTAAAGTCTTGCGTATTTTGGCTGGTGGAACGTAGTGCTGGTCCGAGACGCGCTGTGTGTGGACATTGTTTATAGCAACCGTGCGAGGCTTCACAACCCTCCGGACTTCGTGACTTCGACGGAACGAGTTTTACTCCTTGAGCAACGTACTTGTTTCTCGCACTGGAGGGTTGTGCCCGTGAGGCACGACAAGAAGTATAGACCACAGCTCGTATCCGTCGCCAACGTAAACCAGTCACCAGGTTTAGATCGGTCAAGCACGCATTATCCGGCAGCACAAACGTGTAGAAAGTGGCTGTTGTGGTGATAGTCCAGGCCAAGGCAGCAGTAGAATACTGACGATGGACCCACGTGATCACGTTATGCTTCAGGTGCATCGAAATGCTGTTATCCAGTAGTCGAGAGTCTCGGCACTATACTTCCTCAGTCAGTATTCGCCGAAGTTTTTGCACTGCTTCAGCCGCTGTAGGTCGCTCGTTCGGATCCAGTGAAACACATGCCAGACCCAAGTCGACGATCGACCGGGGACTTGCTTCCGAAAACTCAACGCGCAGTACGCCAGCTGCCACCATTTGCAAGATCGCTGCGCTCGGTAGGTTACGCGTCCCGGATGAACGGTTCGTACTGCTTCGACCCACTGAAGCGTACGGCAAAACGTGCGAGTCGAGTTCGGAGAGCACGACGCCGAACGAGAACATGTCCACTTTGTCGTCATATCGCTCGCCCATCATCACCTCGGGTGCCATCCAGAAAGACGTGCCAACGCCGCCTGTCATGGTAGCGTCAATCCGTTCTCGAGAAATACCAAAGTCCGTCACCTTTGCATCCATTGCTTCGTCAAGCAGGATGTTTTTCGACTTCAAGTCGCGGTGGATCACGGGAGGAGAACACGAGTGCAAGTAAGCCAGTGCAATCGCGACGTGGAACGCAATCTTGACCTTCAGATGGTCAAACCCAACCGGATGGTCACGGTTCTCATACTCAGTGAGAAGAGCCTTGAGATCGCCACCAGACATGTACTCGGAAACCACGCAAATGTCCACAAGCTGGTCCCAAGCAACTCCGATGAATGATACAATACGAGGATGGTCCAGACATGCCATCAACTTAACCTCACATAGAAAAGCATTCACCTGTGACATGGCCTTCTTCTTCTCAGGAAGTAGCATCTTTACCGCAACTTGACTCCCTTTATACCTCCCAATGTACACCTCTCCATATCCGCCTCGACTGAGCAGCTCTTCGATCTTGACTTGATCCCGAGGAATGCGTGCAGCAACAACAACGTCATCGTCCCAAATCTTGGCATGCCGATGGTGAGGGTTCATCGACAAGCCCGTTCCTGTTGACGTTTGAAGCTTCACTGGACTTTCGTGCTCTTCGTAGCCGTCACTGCTGACAATGTCAAGCTGAGTCGGATCTTGACCGGGATGCCGTTTCGATCGGCGACGCTGCTGATGTACTTTGTACAAGAGGGCACTTGCAACAACCACGAGAAGAACAAGCGCGACGACAATTCCAGTAATGGACACCCCGGAGATACCGTCCTTTGACTCGGAAGAGTTCGAGTTGTCAATGCCATTGGTAGCTCGACCCTCCAAACTTGAGTAATACTTCCTGCCGTTGGAGCACGGGTGGTTCGTGATAGCACCTTTGGGGATCAGGAGCGACGAAGAAGAAGGGAGAGTGCACGTTTGATCAAGGTAGTACGTCACCAAGGCCGATCCGTTTGTAAACAGAGTCGCAACGACGTGTCGATCATCACTTCCAGCCGCTACACACTCGCCCAAAGCAGCCAAAGCTGATGACCCAACATACGTGGAACACTCCGGCTCGGCGTACATATCAACGAGCAAATAGGGCGTCTCGTCGAAGAAATCCTGCGTGTACTCGTACACATCGGACAAACAGCTACTTTCAGCGTAGTACGTGCTACCTGCGATAATGGTGGCTGAACAATCCGAGCTCGAACACGCACCACCTAAGGCGATCGATGTCGACACTCCCCGATCGCAAGAAGCGTCCGAATAGAGTTCCAACGCCTGCATTGACATCTCTCCGCGATGCTTTTTTTTTCTCCAAGTCAAGAGCTCGTGAGTGATTTCGAGATATCTGCCGGTGATTTCGAGGAATTTGCTGATACTTTCAGTACCAAGTGAGCTCCTCGCGTGGTCAAGGCTGGAATTCGGTTGTGACGAGATTTCGTGTTCGAGGACAAGGCGTTAAGTGTGGGCGCATAAAATGAATACGCACTGGCGTAAGCGCGATCAGGTTTTATGCGATAAGCGTAGCATGGCTTGCTCAAAAGAGACTGTTTGACTCTTCAAATCGGAACACTTTCTTCAGATTTGGCAGCAGCTCGAGCCCTTCTGCAGTCTGGATTTATTCAGGTAAGTTGCATCGTCAGGACTTGATGGACACAAACTTTGCAAAAGTAGGACGAGCCGCAAAACCAGGACCTATTAGAAATAGAAACGGTTTTATCCACCCGAAAATGTTATTTGTGTGGTTGGTAAGACCGTGACTACAAGCGTAAACGATGTTAAAGACAGGTGCGTAACGTAGCACCAAGACGTTCGGTAAAATGGAACGGATCGGCTTAATTGCTATTTACAGTGCAACAAAATTGGCTAAGGGACAGACCTTCTGGACCGGTGAGCATGCAACACATTTCATCAAAGACTACTGTTATAACCATAACACGAAGTCCAAGGTGACGAAAAGCAGTAAAGGAGGAACAAGACATATGCGTGTCCTCAAGATGTGTAACGGGGTAGCCCGTTACATGATGTTGATACCAAACGATGTCAATAGGGAGATTGTCTAGCGTGACAATTCCCTGCCCATATTACCCGAGATCGGTAATATTGAAGGAGTACTATCCCCTTTGTAATTTAAATTCATGCGCTGCTCAAAGATTGGTTGATGACGACATGTCAACCATAGATTACCACCAATCGCTGCTGGACGCGCGCAATGAGTGGTGAGCAGGTTGTCGTCATACGACAATGTAGGTTTATATAGGTAGATAAAGACTTAAGTTATTTTGATAGCTTAACTATGTTAAATACAGTTCTTTTTTCACCTTTTGCTCAGACTAGCAGTTTGAGTAGATTAGCTTCCTCTGCACGTACTAGTGTACGTAAAGTTTCGTGGCATTCCAAACAAAGGGTGCCCCGTTACACCTGGTAGCACTTTGTAGCCCGTCCAATGTGTACTTAGTGTCTGTCCAACATAAACATGTTGGACGTAGAAGGCTACAGCTTTCACGTCACATGTGATAGCTACTCCCATCTGAGTGACTCAGAATGGGAGGTAGTCAGCCGCATGAGTGTGCTCATGGGCGAACCCGCCATCAGTGGCATGTTGGAGTCTCTAAACAGATAACAACAACATGCCGCTATCAACAAGTTCTTATAAGGGGAGCTTGCTGTCGAAAGACCGAAGATAGCCTTGCTTCAATAGCAAGGCTCTCATCAGTCGATGGGCGGGCCGACCCACAGGCGTCGACCCGAAACCTTAAAGATCGACCTCTTAAGGTACAGTGGAACTGATGAAGATTCCCTTTTGAGATGGTTTGTCGAGTTAGACGAGGACATAAGGGCCTGTCACATTGAGGGTGACGAGATGCAAGTCACCTTCGCCCTGTCAAATTTGATAGGATGAGCAAAGACTTGGAACTTAGGGCTCAAGCTTCACGACCCAAACGAGTTTGAGTCGTTAGGGATCTTAAAGTCTCGGCTCAAAGAGACGTTTGAGCCGCCAAGAGCCGAGTACAGAGCACGCTCTGCACTCTCGAGGCTAAAGCAAGGCAAGAATTGTGCATGCTTACGCACAACACTTACGCTACCTTGCGAGTAGCGTCACGGAAAACCCTGTTGATGAGCACACGCTCATCAACGTGTTTATCTACGGCCTTGTAGATGGACTGGTGAGGACCTACATGTTTCGAGAGGACTTCCATACGCTGAAAAAGGCGACAGCATATGCGGAATAAGAGGACTTTCAGCCTGAGACAGTCTCAGGCTAACTCGTCAAACTATCGTCCGACGAGACGACAGATAACCGGAGGTCCCGAGTTTATGGATCTCTGTTGTATCAAGAGCGAGAAATTTCGCTCTCTGAGTGAACGGCAAGATGCCATTGCTGTAAGAAGATCGGGCACAACGCTCATGAGTGTAGTGCCCAGCATCGCATCACGTCCAAAGACAGGACTTGATGACCGCCGTTGGCCGAGGAAAGGTCCAAGGCGTGGGTACGACCATGTCGCTGACCGAGACAGCAAGTCGGACCGCCAAAAAAACGGTCAGGGTCAGTAGGGGCGGAGCACCCTGCTGATCTAGCAACGTCAAGAGATGTTGCAGGACTCTTGACGAAGATTTCTCCCTACAAACAGTCGCTTTGTATTACTTCCCCTAGTGATGAGGTGTCCATCATCATTTTATAGATCGAAGTGACAAGTGGAGTGTCACTTCGCGCCCTAGTCAACTTTGGGGCGTCGAACACTTTTATGTGACGATAGTTGCTAGAAGATAGTAGACTCAACTATGTTGAGCAAGAGTTCCCTTCAACGAGGATGACGGTGTGCTTTGCTACAGGCGCATCCGTAACAGTGAACAAACGTGTAGTGGAATTTAGCTACACGCTTTAAGGAAGGAAGTACGATGATGACTTCATCGTACTAGATTTGGATGACAAATTTGATGTCATCCTCGGTCTGCCATTATGAGAAGATACTAGCCATGGATCAGCTGGCAGCATCGATCCGTGAAGATGCCTGCCCTTTGTTCACCAGACGGCCATCCGATGAAAGTCTTGGAGCGTCCACAAGCGTGTGGATGTAATACGAGTGAGTGCGATGGCATTACTTGTGGTACGATCGTTAGCACGATTGCAAAAGATCACAGTTCAGAAGACCACTACACTGTGGAACCAGCTTCCGTCACCTGTGTAGAGACACAGGATGCGCCGAAGGTTCACCACTCGAAAAGATCGAACGGACAGGAACACGGATGCACACCAAGAAGGGTGCATCCAAGAAGATATTAGTGTTGTTAAGGATGAACAACACGTTACAGCAAGATTGACTATCAGAGATTCTATCGCAAAGCAAACAAAATCGACTGAAAGAGAGTAGATCGACGAGGGCGTGACTGTGGTAGTGCACCCATAGTCAGTACTCGTATCGGAAGAAAGTTCCAGGGTTCTTGAGAGTGATAACTCTTGAGAGAGTCATGTTGAGGGTGTGGATCCTTAACCACCTGCGGATGTGTTTTCCCAGGAAATCACCGAGACAGTGAATTTCTTGGTGAATGACGGATCAAGTGTAGGCGCTTATACACTTGATCAGGTGACACCTCCGAAGTCAGCTTTGGAGGTAATCAAGTTGCCAACGCTAGAATCTAAAAGATTCTTGCGAGATTTGCGTAGTGACAAGATCAAGCAGATCTGCGTACTCGTCACAGAGGACGAGTACGTCGCCGATATTCGGTCGGCACAAGTTTTTACTGAGAACGAACGGGTTGTCAGTAGATCATCGATGGATGAGAGTGTCCTCGATGAGAAGACCCGGATTGAGCGATACACGTCTCAATCTTAAGAGTCTTTGAAGTCAAATCCTTTGTGTGAGAATTTGGTCGGATTCAGGGATGTTTCCCTAAATCCGTGCCATGCGAGCTGCCTAATGACAAAGGCACTCGGGATGAGATCAAACTGAAACCCGGTTCGAAGTAATGTCTCATAAAGCAGTGGACACTGCCTCGTGAACAGGTAACAGCGATCGACAAATCCTTTTTCGATCGGTTAGCAGCTAGTCATGTGAGGGAATCAACATCCTCACACAGCTCTCCGACCTTCTGTGTGAGCGAAAGGCCACAGGAGGATGGCGTATAGTGCACGCGCTCTAAAAATTGAACGCTGCAACGGTATTGGCTCAAATGCCGATACCGAGGAAGGATGCCCTCATAGATAGTATGAAATAGAGTACCATCTTCTTGTCCATGGATCTGATGGATGGATTATATCAGGTCCCCATGCGTAAACGTGATATCCCTTACACAGCAGTAAGCACCCCAGTGGTATGCTCTGGGAGTGGCCAGTGATGCCACAGGGGCTTAGTAACGCCCCTGCAACATTAAACACAAGTGTTACAAACCTGTTGCGATCGGTGCGCGATTTCGCACCGAGTTACTTCGACGATGTCTTCGTCCATAACCTGGCTATGGATGGAAAGACGGACGTGGGGTTCATAGAACCCACGTCCGGAAGGTTTTTACTCTAATGCGAGAGCATAAGCTGTTCGCGAAACTCAAGACGTGCATATTCGCAGCGAACGAAATACCACTTCTTTGCTGCATCGCGGCTAAAAACGGTGTACGCTCTGATCCAGAAAAGATCAAGGCGATTAGAGACTGGTCCGTGCCAGTCGACGTCAGAGGACTTCGAAAGTTTTTGTCTTGGCGGCGTACTTGCACAAATACTCGCGCAACTATGCCGAGATGACCGTACATCTCTCTCGTCTGTTAAAGAAAAAAGAGAGGTGGTCATGGAGTGCTGGGTGTTAGTACGTTTCGAAGGTGTCACGAAAAGCTTGATACAATCGTCTGTGTTGGCTATTGCAGACCAGGATGGACCATTCCATGTGGTCTACGACGCCAGCGATTTTGCAATCCGCTGCGCTTTAACGTAGTACGACTCAGACGGCGTTGAGCGCGTCGTCTGTTATCGATCGCGTCAGCTGCAAGCAGCTGAGCGTAACTACCCAGTGCATGATAAGGAACTACTTGCCATGAAATATGCACTGGCTAAGTTTCGGGTTCATCCCTTAGAAGATAGACCCTTCATCGTTTGTACCGACCATGCGTCGTTACGCACGGCCGTAAACAGTCCACATCTCTCGCAACGAAGGGCGAGGTGGCTGTCTTTATTTGCTGAGTATAACTTCTCCGTCGAGTATAAATCAGGACGGCTTAATGTCGTCGCTGATGCTCTTCACGTCGGCCCGATTTTGAGCCGTCTACTCAACCCGACAGTAGGGGTGATCCCACTGTCGCGA